CACAAAGGGATGTTCATTGTTCGGGCATAAACATTTTAAAAGGACTTTAACACAGCCTTTTCCTTACTGGTGCGCTGAATATTTGCACATCTAAACCTGCATGACAGCGGCTGCCCTACTTAATTGCACTCAAGCCTGGATTCTCAAAAGGATGAGTTTCAAAAGCAACCAGCTAAAATGATATGCAATGCTACCCTCTGGTGGCAATTTTTCCACCCACCACCACTGCATTTAATTCACACTCCTCAGCTTTTGCGTTGTGGTTCCTTTTTAATGCTCAATGATCAAACTACTGCACAGCAGGATGATGTTGTCTGACATGTTACAAATAGACCAACCGATACTGTCTCTTTCTGGATTTACAAAGGATATAGATCTGAATGCAGATCTGAGCTCTCTTCTGAGGGAGCTCAGAAGCGCAGGCAAAAGAACCAAAGGGCTTAAAAAATAAGTCATAAATATAATACTTTAAATGTGTGTGTGTGTGGCGGGGGAGAAGCGTCTGTCTCCATTTCCTTTGCGGAATACTTTGTTTCTCTGACACCAAAATAAGATATGCCAGCGCTTGACAAACCGATTAAAAGCTTGTGTCTGATTGCTCAGCAGCTTCTTTAAATACCAACGTATCCTGTGCCAAATTTCAAACAAATACGCCTCAGTGATCCTCTACAGCAACAATATTCCCGATAGAGTTATGAGCCCTTTTACATGGGATTTTCAATGGTGAAATCAGTGAAGTTCAACAGTGGCTTAACTCTGCTCCAAGTGACACCAGTGGGAGTTTTTCACCATTGACTTACATAGGAATAGAGCTAAAGCCAACATTGAGCCCTTTTGAGAACCCCACCCTCTGTCTTCTAAATCCTACGACTAGATATGAATGATGGGCACGAATCCCCATTTACTGCTAGACCGGTCCCTGGCATTTTTCTTTTCTTTTAGGGTTAAGAGGTTTGCATTTGTTCCCTAGACGTGGCTGTAACAGGTTTTATTCCGCCATTTGAAATAGTAGGGTGTCTCTGAGATCAGCCACACACCCAATATGATCAAGATACAGGAAGTCTGCCATGCTGGGATGCCAGAGATCAAAGGGGAAGCACATGCTATGAAGTAATCTGTCAAAGAAGAAAACAGCTACCCTTGGGAAATAGAAAACAGACGCATTTTACTTTCCAATTTTAAAGCATTCTTAGTCTTCTATAATTAACAGAAAGAGTTCAGAAGCGCCGTAGCCACTTGTTGCATAATTTTCCTGTGTTTAACTGGCTGGCTCAGTCTTTTCCTGTGCTCTACAGGCTGAGTGAAAACTTCTGCCAATGGAAAGAGTAGTTTTCTGCCTATGATAGCGAATGCTGCTGGTCTCGTCTCAGTATGTACTCATGTACCTCATGCTTCAGAGCTTCAACTCTCATGCTTCAGGGTTTAAACCAATCTCTATCAGAGACCAGAATGAGACCTGTGGAGTTGGGGGGAGGGGAAGATTATCCAGATTTGCTGATTGTGGGGGTTCTCACACCTTCCCCTGAAGTATCCTGTCTGACAGAAGGTGTTGGTCACTGTCAGAGATGGGACGCTGGACCAGATAGACCTTGGGTCTGATCCTGTCTGGCAATTCCTATGTTCCTATGGTTACAACCTCAAGTCTTGAAAATTATTTACTTCTTCTTAAGGGTCAGTGTGAATTTACCCTTCAGATGATCCATAAATAACTAAATGAAAGGGGGAAAATGAAGAGGCGACATAACTGTTTTGTATGTTATATGTTGCTTAAATGAGTGTAAATTGGTGTCACTTACACATCAAGGGGACAAAAGAAAGGGTTGTAGCAGGATAAGCAACCTGAAACAGGAGGGATTTATTTAGCATACAAAGGGGGTATAATTAGAAACAACTGGATGCAATTAAGGGAAATTTACCTTGAATATCAAGAGAAAAGGAGCCTCCTTTATAATGAGTCCTATTGATCTGTACAATAGTTTCCCAAGGAAAGTGGTGGATGCATTAATTTATTATATTTAAAACTACTCTTCTCCAGGAACAAGGCAAGGGATGGGCACTTGTACCTAACAGAGTCTGGGCCTTTTGTGTTTTACGTGGTCTTGACAATTCCTGAGGTGGGAGGGGGACTTCTCAAAAAATCCTGTTTGTGGGAACCCTCCTGGGTTGTTGAGGATTTTCCTGCCCTCTCCTGAGTCACCTTGAATAGTACAGGAAGAAGGGGAACGGGATCTCCTTCCTGTCTGAAAAGCAAAAAGGGTTCATGACAGAACACATTCACTGTAGGGAAGGGAAAGAGCTCCACTTCTTTCCCTGGACTGGACTGAGAAAACACGTGACAGATGCTAGTCGCATCGCTTAATGCGCTACTGGAAGGCGCTCAGATATTATGGTGATGAGTGCAGAGCAAGAATCGACACAGAAAAGTTTAGACTCTGCCTGCTCCTTCTCAACCCCAGGAGAGACCTCACGGGTGGATGGTGAGTCAGTGTGAGCGCTTCCCCTGTATGGAAAGAAAGGGCCCAGGGAATGTTCAGCCATGGTGCAGACACTGATTGGGTACATCTAGCCTTGGGGCAGGGTCTGTCTTTTTGTCCTGTACCTTGCTCAATGGAATTCTGGTCCATGACTTGGACTTCGGTATTATCTGCTGTAATAATTACAGATAATAAATAATATCCAACACTGCATCAGCTTGTGTAAAAAGATATGGCTCTGCAGCACTGGAAGCTAGTCTGACACAACTTACTCTCGCCTCAGAGAGCGCAAAACCACCCACATAATCCACTTGCCCTTCTGTGCAATCTCCAAACAAGGAAAGGGCCGCTGGGTGTTTCAAGCTCAACGAGAAGAAGAGGAAGAGCAAATAATGCGTCCATCTTGAGGAAAGAGCCTGGCTGACCAGAATCTTGAACAGGAGACTGTGGCTGTAGGAATTAGGATCTAGGAGGGAAGATATTTTCCTGTACTTTTGAGACCTCTGTTTTGACTGGTTAAGGGTTTTGTCTTATTGGTTATATTATTACAACATGCAGTGAAGGAACCTCTTGCCCTCCTGAGATATTGAGCTTATGAGCCACTGCCCTCCTGTTCCAAAGGGAAGTACACATGGGGAGTGGCAGGTGGGCGCAGGGAGACTTGTACCACTATTCTTTAAATGCAGTGCTTCCACCAGTGGTTTATTACAGAAGGCAGGTAAAACACGATTTGTCCTAATCTGGGGCTATTCAACTGAAGAGGGGCAAATACCTGGGAAGTGCACAGTAGGAGGCCCTGGGAGTCTGGAAGGAAGCCTGCTTGCTTTTCCAACCTGTCTGGTGCCCATTTCAGTACTTCCACTTGGCCTTGACTAAGTAAAACAGAGGGTGTTTTGTACATGGGAGGGCATTTCTCACTTGCCCTGCTGTAATCCCATGCTAGAGCAGGTACATGGGAAATGGAGTCCTTATGGACTTCTGTTGTGGGCACAGCCTGCCTGGAGTGCTCCCTTGAGCATGGAGATTAGTCTGTGGAGTGGGAGGTGGGGAGATCCCTTCCTGCTTGGGAGAGACAGAGCCCTTTCCCTAGCACAGTGAGAGTCTGGGGGCAGTCCCTGCTCTGATACTGACAGACAAGGCTTCACAGAAGCAGTAGGGCAAAGCCAGGAGCGTTTATCTGCAGGCCGAGGGGAAAGGAGTCTGAAGCAGAGCAAAGCTAGAAATCACCACACAGGAGAAAGGCTGAGACCCCGTTTTACATGACTTACTCATCGAAGTTGTAAATTAGTTCCTTAAGCGGGCACTTGCTTCTTTTGGGACATGGTGCCTCGGGAACAGGTAAGACTTACCCCTGAGCAGACTGTGTGGGGTCCCTCATTTGCAAAACTGGTGCTCCTGGTTACACTTTCCCATAGCAGCTTTATAGGGGGAATAGGCCCCAACATGCTTGTCTGATCACAAAACCATATGCCCTGGGCGAATGAGGATTGGTTGGAAGCAGACAGGCCACAGCTCGCCCATAGCTGCTCCTGAAAGTTGCTGTACAAGTATAGCACTTCCTGAACCACCTCCGTGGTTGTGAGGGTGGGGCACCTGGTAGTGAGGTGCTGCACCAGAGGATCCAGAGGATTAGTGCCTCAGGGCTTCCACTGAGTAGAGGGAGACGTGAGCTCCACTGAGGAGAGGGAGACGGGAGGCTGGAAGGAGGTCACTACTGTAGAAAAAAACAATGCAAATTCAAAGGGGAAAACAAACTTAGGGCTGGTTTACACTAAAGCTGTAAGTCGACCTAAATTACACTACCTCAGTTACACAACCGCGCTGTGTCGACGGGAGACGCTCTCCTGCCAACTTATTTTCCGCCTCTCGGGGAGCTGGAGTACAGACGTCGACGGGAGAGCACTCTCCCATCGACTTAGCGGGTCTTCACCAGACCCGCTAAATCGACACGGCTGCATCAATTGCAGCAGTGCCCATTTAGCCGTAAGTATAGACAAGCCCTTAGTGGGAAAAACTGAACCTAAGTTAACTTGTGTCACAGCTGGAGGCAAAACTTCTAGTGGCCTGATGTGAGCTGCAGGCCCTTGTCCTACAGCCCCCAGCAGCAACATTTTACCACCTCCCAATGCCACAGATGCCTGCCCATTTGTGGAAGAGGGGAGAAGTCATGCAGCAGAACAGCAAGGAGCTCTGTGTTTCAGTCTCAGTCACTCTGCCTGCATACCCAAGGTTAAGCATTTTGTCAAGAAAATCTGACCAACACCGAAGGTGCCAAATTCCTCAATCCCATTGCTCTGTCCTATTTTTATTCCTATTTAAAACAGAAACACTCACTTAATTGCTGTTCCTCACCAGGGCTGAAGGTGGTGCCACAGACAACAAAATGCCACTTCTGACTGCACACTTTGCATATTCCTAGGACTGAACTCTGTCTCAGTGGAATCCTCTGCTCGGTTACACACTTTTATGATCAAAGAAGGTCAGCTTAAAAACAATGAATGTATGTAGATTGTTTATTGACTCCAACATATTAGTAGATTGGATAATAAACAGTACTTTTAAACATTCTCTTAACCAAAAATATAACAAATATTTACAATCACTCAGTAAAAATACAAAAAGCATACAGAGGCACTGTCTTTCTAAAAGACATAAGTGTAAGAGGTATCAAAAAATAGGAGACACATTGCTTGTTACGGAATACTTTACAATCACTGACTTGTGCAGTACAATTGCTATTGGAATATCATTACATCTGTGCAGTTTTTGCCAATATGCTCATATATTTAGAATTTTATTAATACCAAGCTAAACTGCATTCCAGGTATATAAAAATAAAGATAAAACAAAAAAGCACAACATAAGCTAAAGCTGAATTGGGAATTCAAGATGGGTTTTTCTCCCCTTTTTTAAATATAATGTATAAAGCTTTTCTAAAGAGAGAGTATCCCTTTTTTCTAATCTGTTTTTCTGAAGGCAGTCGTAAGTAATGTATATCTTTTTTAAAAAACTATTTCTAATATTTATATAAAAGCTTAACATGACATATATTTGCATTGTTGTCTGCAACCACGTGATCTGAGAGAGAAAGAATGAAGAAAGACTTTTCAGATTTATCTTTTGCAAGAGAATTATTGATAGAAAGCAGAGTCTTTCTGCAAAGGTTGTTTCCTATAGGCTCAATCCTTGGAAGTGCTGGCCAACCTCCATCTCCCATTGACTTCAATGGGCAAGGATGACACTCGGCACATTGCACAATCACGACCTGTAAGAATTAGAAGGAAGCTATGAATCTCACCCTGCAATCATCTCCCACATAAGAAGCCTCACTGGCCCCAATGACTACTCAGTGAGTTTGGATTAAGCACGAGTAAGAAAAGGCCTCATATTCCCACTCAGGTAATGACTGCTGATCATTCAACTCCTCTTATTGTCCAACACTTAAAGGAAGCATATTGCAAATATTTGAAGGAATTCCCCTTTAGTTTACTGAATTGTATTTATGGGATAGGCAAACTAATATAACAGAAGCTCAGTTGTCTAATTTCATTATGTGGAGGCCAGTTAAGTTAAAGGTTCTACGATTGGGGAAGGTTCTTTCCGAATGATTTGGAAGGTTGAGCTTTTAATAGCACAATGAAATATCACAATGCAGGCAAAAAAATCAAATTGGTTTTAATCAAATCAAATCCTTCACTCATCACTTATGAGCGAGCAAACAAACAATTAGTGAAAGAGGAAGCAACAAAATGTTAATGGAGGAAGAATATTAGTCGGGACATGAATTGCTCAGCAGAAGTTAGGTCTGTGTAAGAGAAAGAAATCAAAAGGGACAGAGTGCTGTACAGGTAAGTCAGCTCACATTTTTTGGTTCCATGAGATACCACTTACATGAAACAACGTAAAACCCGAATTAAGCAGTCTTAATTCACAATTTTCAAAGCTGAAAAAAGGGATAATGTCTCTTCAAATCCATACAAGACACACTACATTTGGCTATTGTCCCCGATCAATGTGATCAGTTGAATTAAAAAACAAACGAAGTCACAGCAAGGACAAGCAGAGCCAAGCCACACTGTCCAAGTCAGAAGAAGCAGAAAAAGTAGCTCATTTATCAATAGTTTATGCATGATTTATTTACACTAGTTGTACTGTCTATTAGGAAAATATTATTAGCAAGACTTTTACTCACTTTAAAAACAATGTCCTGAAAAGTACTGCTGAACAGATTGATGCTGTTGATGTGCAAACACCAAGTTTAAATGGGTAATCAATATCAAATGGCTGGCTTAATGGACCAGATGAAGGCCCCAATCCAGCTCCCATGGGAGTCATTGGGAGTTTTCCCACTGACATCAGTGGAAGCAGTATCAGGCCCTTAGATAGGAAGGAGGTCACCTCAAGAACAAAGACTTAATCCTTTACGTTTGTTCAACAGGCTGAAATAAACTACAAATCAATATCTGAGGTCACTGAAACCTTAGGACTTAATTTATGTGGCACAAAACACATGATTTTCTGATTAAACGGTACGCCTATTGTGCACGCCGCTTAAAAGCTAACAAACAATTACAGTTTACTGTGGGATTACTAGAATTTGCAATTTATATCCTGCAAGACATCATTTTAAGGATTAAGAAGTTAACATTATATATGCTGAAAGTAATCATTTTGCCCCAGACCATTTTGACACTTATATTAATCTTGATTCATTAAGGCCTACACAAGTTCATTGTAAACATTAAGGCCTTGACAAAGAAGAAAGTATCCTTTAAGAAACAGCTAATCTGCTTTTCAATATGATTTTTCAGCTATTTACTCAGATATTCATACCAAAAAATCTAACATATAGTCAATCAACTAATTATGAATTGGGAAGCCTCTCCCCACATTACTGCTCTCGACTGATTTAGGACTTCAGGATACAAGGACCAATACAGGGTACATTCCAGCCACAGAATAATATTAAATCTGGCACACACATGAACACAAGCAAAAGTTTGATCGAACACATTCTCATGTTTGTCAACATCAGCCCCAAGTAGATATGGGTGATGCACATCAAATGCTTTGGGTTGTTTTTGGTACTTGTGTCATTTTTAGAAAATGCTGCATTTGCCCTACACCAGGAAAAACAAAAAAAGAAATTTTAAAACTCTTCATAACGTAATATATACGTTCTTTGAGGCACCTGTAAAATGACAAACATCTATCTAACTTAGTCTGTAAACATCCTCATTAAGATTTACAAGTAAAATGTTAAAACACAGATCCACACATTCATCTCCAATTATATTATTTGATTGGGTTATCCTGTGCTAGAACGAGAAAGAAAATGCAGGTATTTCCAGTTTTACCCCATGTGCTCTGGTTGGCTAAGTAAAGTTAAAGCAAGCAACTTAGCTTACCCTAATTGTACAAAAAGAACATGAATCCTGGCTCCATCCAAGTAAAACCCCCCCACTGATTACAACTGGGCCAGCATTTCACTCTAAAACTTGAAACATTCTAATCTAATTCATTGGATGAATGCGGTAGGTTTTCAGAATCAGTTATACACTATATTGTACTATATCTCAAATGTTCACTTTCACAAATATTATTCCATAATGGCTTGTGTTGATATTAAATTTGTATTTATTTATTGTATTATGTGCAATGGCCTATGGTTAAAATGCTATATTAATAAACTTTCTACCTACTCCATAATGGGAGTGGTAACAATTTTCCTTTTAAATAATTCCAGTACCTAAAATACTTGAATTTTGGTACAAGTAGAAAAAAAAATATAGGATGATCACAGAACCCACAGAGCACTAATTTTCCTTTCTATTGCTAACAATGGATTTACATGCTGCACTATGCAGTACAACATTTGTTTACCGTCCTACTTGGAAAGTTTTGAACATACCAAATAATTTCACAGGAACTACAGCCTCCATGTTTCAAACCTTTAATCTGGGGGAATGCGGGAGAAGAACTCCAGTTATTTTCCCAGCAGGCTGATAGTTAAAGACTTCCACAGATATTTTTTAGGGTTTTCTAGAGCAGGACCAAGAGATGGCAGTGTTTCATTGCTGTATGCACATTAACTTCCAAATTCTTTATTCCATTTACATTAAGTACACACCCAAAATCCGGGTATTTCTAAATGAGTTAGTAGGCCCATTACCTGTGTCTGTTTCAATAGCACAAAGAATATTGACATGTATCTAAGTTAGTACCCATTTTCTTTGTCAGTGTTCACACTAGCCAACAAGAGCACTCCCAGTACAAATAAAAGAAAACCCTCCATAAACTCCAAATAAATAAATTACTTTTTCAGATACTGCCGCAGTGTCCCCAATTTTGCTTATGTATGTAAAATAACATTCTTAATTTTAGAATTATAATGGTCATGTGGAAAGTATACATCACAGAAATCTACCAAAGGATTATAAGGTATTATACAGAAGAATGCTTCCAAGTTTCAAGTGGTTCTTGACAATTGGTGGTCCCAATGTACTAAGATTGGTCCTTCTCATCATACTGATTTCAGTCCTCAGGTAGTCTGTACTCCTTGGAAACTGGTATTTATATCACAGGCATAAATAGTTTTCTTAGGCTGTGGTAGCTGACTGTGGTAGAGTGAAGTAAGTTAGAGAGATTTATGATCCAGCCAGGTTCACATTGTCCACGACTGAGGCAAATACAACTTTTGAGGTTAGTAGCAGCAAGTTGTCAGCATTAGCTAACAATCATATGGTTCATATTCCCATGTCCCCTGTGATTTGAAGTGGTTTTCATAGATAGCCCAATGGTTAGACTGCTGATACTTGTTCATCTTCTGTAAAACAAGAAAAACATTGTAAATTGTTACATCAGACATCTGCCATGAACATACAGTACATTATTCAATATGTTGACCAAGCCCCACCGTTTACTGGAGATTGTACTGCCATGTAATGCTTTCAGAATCTAATGACCAGAATGAAATAAATATCCTTCTTCAAAAAGTTCCTCTACCATCCTACACGTTTCTTAGCCATTTGATGAAGATACATGGAAAAAGATGAAATTGCGTATTCTCAAAATATTACTTTGAATGCACTGGAAAATGCATTCCAGTGACTCCAAACCATGCAGAATGGGACGGGGGGAGGAGCAAGCAATTTTCTAAAATGATAAAAGTTATCCAAGCATTTTAAAACTAAAAAGGAAAAATATCTAGACCTGTACAATAAGTTTCATTGCAAAAATTTGGAAGAAAATGTTGCTTGGCCTCTTTGTATCATTATCTTTTTATCTCATAGCTCATGAGTTGGCATCATGGTATACGAGAGTAATATACACCACAGAATGATCTAATATCATGCAATGCAAAAATAGGATTGCCTTATATCACAAAGGCTTTGACTCTAAATGCATGTTGTTTTTAAGCCAGATGGAAATTTAAGCAAGTCAGTACTATATTCTAATTCAAAAGCTTCAGTTCATTGACAGTGGGGGAAAGGATTGGTAATACTAATGCATAACACATTGGGAGATTGAAAGAATAGCACCGATACATTAGTATGGAGTGATCTTTTACAAATACAGGAACAGCTTTCTGAAGCATAATACTTTACATATACACCTCTACCTCGATATAACGCTGTCCTCGGGAGCCAAAGAATCTTACCGCGTTATAGGTGAAACCACGTTATATTGAACTTGCTTTGATCCACTGGACTGCGCAGCCCCCCCCTCCCCCCCGAGCACTGCTTCACCGCATTATATCCGAATTTGTGTTATATCAGGCCGCATTATATTGAGGTAGCAGTGTATATTGTTGAAAGCAGCAAGGATTGTTTATGGCAGTATTGACAGTCACTTCAAACAAGGATGTAGAAGAATTTAGTTTAAGAAGGCACTGTCAACTCAAGTTTGGCCCAAACAAACTTTTACAAAACCTAAGAGCAACAAAAAAGTTTCCATTAATTTATTTTGTTCCAAAAATGCTTTAAAACATTCTCTTGCAACATTTTCACATGACAACTGCAATGTAAACCAACCAGAAATGGAAGAAAAACCAAAAGTGGAACAACCTTGTTTCCACTGTCCAGATTGAGAGAAATGCAAAGAAGTGAATCATAATTAGGATTTCAAATATTCTGCAAGAATTAATAACCCAAGATGGTATTTTTTTAAATATAATTTTTAACCTGACAGTGTCCTTTTAAGGCATCAGAATTGCTCAAATAAAAGATATAGAATTGAAGGGGAAGATAGCACTATATAGAATCTAGCCCAGGGGTTCTCAAACTTGATTGCTCCGCAACCTCCTTCTGACAACAAAAATTACTACGTGACCCCAGGAGGGGGAACCAAAGCCTGAACCCACCTGAGCCCCACCACCCTGGGTGGGGAGGCCAAAGCTGAAGCCCAAGGGCTTCAGCCCCAAGTGGAGGGCCTGTAACCTGAGCCCCATTGCCCAGGGCTGAAGTCCTTGGGCTTTGGCTTCAGCCCCGGCCCCACAAGTCTAACGCCAGCCCTGGCGACTCCATTAGAACAGGGTCATGACCAACTTTGGGGTCCCGACCCACAGTTTGAGAACCGCTGATCATGAGTATCTTAATTACACTTTTGTAAATCTCACACATTTTGATAAAGAACCCATTTAGTGACATGTGCTTTTTAAAACACAAAGGCACACTTAATTTGAACATATACATTTTCTTTAAAAACAGTTTCAATCTCAAAGAATTACTGAGAACAACTCAAGAACATCATTCTGAGGTAACACTTAGCACAGTACTGAGACTTGATTTACATAGCAGTTCATTTAACATCTATCAAGTTAGTTAACATACCATCCTCTTCACTATCTGCGTCAGTCATATCTGCTAGTTTAGGATGGGACGGTTGCCGTTTATGCCATTGAGGCATCTTCGATGAAATACAGGCCACTGGTTCACTACTGAGAGAAGCTGATGAAAGTCTAGAGAGGTCACTAGGTAGCATCTTTGACCTCTGCACTGCCACACTATAGTCTGGAGGCTTTAAGTGTGGGTGATGGGGTGATCCTTCCTTTATGTCCGCTAAAGAAATCCCCATATATCCTGGAGGGGTGGGCGGAGGCTCCCTATACCTATCGTCCTTCTTAGGTGAGGTGACACAGTACACTGGTACAAGAAATAAGCAATGGAAATGTTAATGAAGAAAACAAAGGAAACAAAACATTAAAAAAAAACTGAAGTGTTACAATGACAAAACAGAAACTGATAACAAAAGGCAAATGCAGAAACACTGGTTATAACAGCAGCAGCAGATTTTTATGCTTTTAACTTACACTTTATACTTATTTTGAAAAGTCATTGTAATAGCAAATTGACTGAACTCATATGGTGAAAAGCCAATTGAAGTTCAATTGAACTATGGTCTCGTGTTATTCAAATGCATTGAAATACTCCGATTACAATTACAGTAGTTATAATACTCTGCACTTCTATAGCAACATCCATCACAGGATTTCACAGCGCTCTACAAATATTAATGCAATTATCCCTGCAGTAATCCTGGGAGGTAAATATTCTTCACCTCCGTTCTTCAGGCTGGGAAACTGAAATACAAGAAAGGTTAACTGACTTGCCCAGGGTCACAATTAGTTTGTGGTGGAGTCAGGCATAGGAAGCAGACCTCTTGACTTCCAGCCCTGTTCATGAACCAAAAGAGAAGTTCTTTAAACAACTGACTTTATTGTAACAAGATTCTACTACACTTGCTGATATGCAGTATGATACTAGTACATAGTCTACGCTTCTCTATGCTGCAGGAAGAAATCAAAAGCTCTGTATGAAGCTCTCATTAAGAGACAGATTGTACATAATATTTTTGGCTTCACAAACATCCCATGGAAACAAGTTCCACAGGCTGACTGTGCATTCTGTGAAGAAGTACGGTAATTCTTTTTGTTTGTTTTAAACCTGCTGCCTATTAATTTCATTGGGTGACCCCTAGTTTTTGTGAAGTATGTCGACTAACTCAAGGGTTATAAATAAAATGACTCTTATCTTTCAAGAAAACAGTATCAAACATGCCTTAAAATTTTACTTGAAAAAGATCAATGATAGTGCTATTCCCACAGCCATGTGTGGGAATCAGGGACCAATTCATGAATTTCAAGAGGAAAGAGGATGTCTTAGATGCAGCAAACATCTCCTGCAGCAAATGGTCTTCAAGCACCTCAAGAGAAATGCCACCAACCAATTAATGAGTTGGCTCTCTGGCGCCAAAGGAACCGGAAGTCCCAACCAGCCATCCTCACTCGCGTGAATGGTGGCTATTAAACAGATAAGAAGGAAAGTGAATATCCCTACAGCAAGTGAAAGGTGTTAACATCCCCCTCATTTAAGGGGGAAAAAGTACAAACTATCGGATAATCTGGCATGTTTTACTCAGGTATTTGTAAAGCGCTCTGAAGAAGAAACATTTGAATGCAAAATATTATTACTGTTACTTTAATTTTCTTATTATATTCCCAAAGGTGCCTCTATCTACTAATATTGACTGCAAGAGAGTGCCATCCACTGGTAGAGTTGGATGTAGCACCAATACTAGCATCCACACCGTTACATCTCCATTATTCTTGTAACTTCTCACAATATAAATCACTTAGAAACCAGGACACTAAGATACCACGTAAGAAAAGGTTCAATACCCCCACTCCCATTCTGCATATAAAACAATCCTATTAATGAGCATTTTAAAAGCGCATGAGTTCCTTGTGTGAAAAGTGTTTACAGACTGATTGTTTAATAGCTTTTCGTGAGAAATTAAGTGCGAGTTCTACTGAATCGATCCTTTGCCTTAAGAGACTCCCTTATTCTGTCTTGTTCCCACTGAGATCTTCTCTTCTTTCAAAAGTCTCATCTCTGAAACCATCTTCCCACCCCAGAACAGACTAAACAAATGGTGAACTAAAACTAGAATATCTTTGACGTGATGTATATAATGAAGTGTGGATGAAGGGTTTGCAAAATTAAACATCTACTTGTGACCCAAGATCCACATCCACCTATTTTTCCTCTTCACTGAATAGGATGCAGTGCATGTTCTATTGAACTATGTTGCTGAATGCTTCTTAACAATGAATACATACAGTTCAGCAACATGGCTGCATGCAAAGAAAAGTGTGCGATGCGGGACATAAACAGAATTGGAAACAAGAGAGAAAGGAGTAAGATAGGGTGACCAGATGTCCCGATTTTATAGGGACAGTCCCGATTTTTGGGGATTTTTTCTTATATAGGCTCCTATTACCCCCCACCCCCGTCCCGATTTTTCACAGTTGCTGTCTGGTCACCCTAGTAAGAGATAAACAAGACTGCATTGAGTGACTCACATGCCAGAATGTCAGAGCTGATGAAGAGTGAACTAGTAGTTAGGATATGTTACTAGGCTAGGGCAGGGTGTGTATGCATGTACTGGAAGGAAATGCATACAAAGTAAATTGGAGGGGGGTTGCGAAAACACTCTTAGACAAGCTCACTTTTTCCATAGAGCCAGAAAAAGAGAAGGCCTCCACCCTACATGTGACCTAAGGATAAGTCTGCTCAGGCAATTACCCTATGATGATAAAGTAAGTCCCTCCAGCAAACTGCTCAGGAATTAAATTGGGTTTCAGTTTCACCCCCTAACTTCAGCAATTTTTTAGAAAGTTTTACTTGATGTTTAATCTTGTTTGCTACCCAACTCCTTTAGTCTTGGTTGTTTGGCAACCCTACTCACTAAGTCACTGAAAGAGCATGTGCACATTAATCAAATATGCCTTTGAAAGGCATATTTTATGTGAGGAGAAAGTGTGCTTTTCTCCAGTAGTATGCAAACGTCAGTTGGCTAAGCAATCTAACAGCAGGCAGTGCAACGTGATGCTATGAAGGGAATCTGCATAGCTTCTGGGCTCCCTGTGACAGGAGTGTTATGGACACAGTGTGCTCAGTCTCTTTGCATCACTAGTCAACCTCCTCCCTTACTGGTTGCTGGAAGGACATGCCCACGGGAGGCATGTCCAGACCTCCTTGCCAGAGGAAAATGTGCAGCAATAAGCGTTGTGTGGGACAGAAGCAAAAGAGGGGGGTTAAAAAAAGGTGATCTCAAAGGAGTTTCGAGAAATAAAGGAACACAGAGCATATGCAGAAATGCCTGACACTTCCCTGAACATGGGCCTCCTGCATTTCCATAAGGCTGTAAGGAAGCATGTTGCTTTATTCTTTTAATTTTCGTAGTTCAAAAAAAAAAAAAAGTTGGTTTGAAAACACATTGTCTGGGTACTACTATGATTAAAACCACATGTAAAACTGGATTTAATATGCAACCCAGCCCCCAGATCTGCTGATGTAATTTCTTAACAACTTAATATTAAAATGCAAAACAGATGTGGAAGCTTCCATAGGTTTTTGGCTTGGCTTACCTATCAGGCCTTTTTCTGTACTTGAAGTAACAGTTTTATAATTTGCATCAGTGGCTGGCTTAGAGTCCAAAACCTCAGTCTGCTCCGCTGTAGAGTGCTCAAGCCCTCTCCGTTTAATTGTCCCATAGTTTGTTTCATACGTGTCTGACAGGGAGCTTGAGGAGGCCCAGCTTTGCCGAGATTGATCATGTTCCGTGCTGGCTTTTGACTGTCGGTTATTTTTGGAAAAGGCTTCAGAATACAAATAAGTCTCTTCAGAGCAACAGTTTGTGGGTTCTACTTCAGCAATGGGTCCATCTAGATGAGAGTGGCGGTAAGAATTCAAGAAATCCCAACTTTTCTGGTTTTGGATATTCTGAAAGTTATCATGAGAACTACTTGAACATGAAGTCCAGCTTCCACGGCCACTGTCTGCAGCTTCTATTGTGATATGCTCGTGGGAGATCTCCTCATTGCTCATGGAAGATGTGACAGCCATCCCTCTGATTATAGCAGGTCTAGTTAGTGACCAACTAAATTTGAAGACAAAATAAATTAGAAAGATAATACACAGGTTTGTAGAGAAATAACTAGGACTGTCAAACAATTAAAAAAATTAATTGTGCGATTAAACGCACTGTTAAACAAAAAATACCATTTATTTAAATATTTTTGGATGTTTTCTACATTTTCAAATATATTGATTTCAATTACAACACAGAATAAAAGTGTACAGTGCTCACTTTATAAGTATTTGCACTGTAAAAACCAAAAGAAACAGTATTTTTCAATGCACCTATTACAAGTACTATAGTAGTGCAATCTCTTTATCATGAAAGTTGAACTTGCAAATGTAGAATTATGTACAAAAAAATGCATTCAAAAATAAAACAAGGTAAAATTTTAGAGCCTGCAAGTCCACACAGTCCTACTTCTTGTTCAGCCAATCGCTCAGACAAACAAGTTTGTTTACATTTGCAGGAGATAATGCTGCCTGCTTCTTGTTTACAATGTCACCTGAAAATGAGAACAGGCGTTCGCATGGCACTGTTGTAGCCGGCGTCTCAAGATATTTACGTGCCAGATGCGCTAAAGATTCATATGTCCCTTCATGCTTCAACCACCATTCCAGGGACATGTGTCCATGCTGATGACGGGTTCTGCTCAATAACAACCCAAAGCAGTGCGGACTGACGCATGTTCATTTTCATTATCTGAGTCAGATGCCACCATCTGGTGGAATCTCCATCCTTAGAGGTTTTTAAGGCCCGGCATGACAAAGCCTTGGCTGGGATGATTTAGTTGGTGTTGGTCCTGCTTTGAGCAGGGGATTGGACTAGATGACCTCCTGAGGTCTCTTCCAAACCTAATATTCTATTATTCTAGTCTATGATTCAATATTGTTTTCTTTTTTGATGGTTCGGATTCTGGAGTTTCCACACTGGAGTGTTGCTCTTTTAAGACTTCCGAAAGCATGTCCACACCTCGTCTCTCTCAGATTTTGGAAGGCACGTCAGATTCTTTAAACCTTGGGTTGAGTGCTGTAGCTATCTTTAGAAATCTCACATTGGTACCTTCTTTGCGTTTTGTCAAATCTGCAGTGAAAGTGTTCTTAAAATGAACATGTGCTGGGTCATCATCCGAGACTGCTATAACATGAAATATATTGCAGAATGCGGGTAAAACAGAGCAGGGGATATACAATTCTCCCCTAAGGAGTTCAGTCACAAATTTAATTAATGGATTATTTTTTTAACGAGCGTCATCAGCATTCCTCTGGAATGGTGGCCGAAGCATGAGGGGGCATACGAATGTTTAGCATATCTGACATGTAAATATCTTGTAATGTAGGCTACAAAAGTGCCATGCAAATGCATGGTCTCACTTTCTGGTGACATTGTAAATATGAAGAGGGCAGCATTATCTCCCGTAAATGTAAACAAACTTGTGTGTCTTAGCGATTGGCTGAATAAGAAGTAGGACTGAGTGGACTTGTAGGCTCTAAAGTTTTAGAGTGTTGTGTTTTTGAGTGCAGTTATATAACAAAAAAAAATCTACATTTGTAAGTTACTCTTTCATGACAAAGAGATTGCACTACCGTACTTGTATGACGTGAATTGAAAAATAAAATTTCTTTTATCATTTTTAGTGCAAATATTTGTCATAAAAAATAATATACATTTTGTATTCTGTGTTGTAACTGAAAGCAATATATATGAAAATATAAAAAAAAATCCAAAATATTTTATAAATTTCACTTGTTATTCTATTGTTTAACAGTGCGATTAAATCTGTGATTACTTTTTTTGAATTAATCACGTGAGTTAACTGCGATTAACTGACAGCCCTAAAAATAACATTTACCCCAAAGTGCTCAGAAACAACATTATCCAGGTTTAAAATATGGTCTGGAATGTAGAAGGATCAAAAACGTACCATGGTGTTGCCCAATAACATGGCTATTCGAGGACAGTCATAGCTCCAACCATTAACATTTCAGATTACATTTCAGTCCTGGATAATATAGTATTAAATGTAATATAAAATAAAGTAAAAATACATACAAATAAAATAAAAAATAAAATGAATCTTCCATAAACAAAACCAGATTTTTTTATGTTTCAGAAATGCAGAAAAAACCCACCTATTGAAATTGATCTGTTACTGACATGTGTTTGTATGCAGTGACTACAACCGAAGTTATTTAAGATAAAAGTATTGCAAGGCTGTAGATCCCTAATGTGTGTGATAAAGTTGGAAAATGGCTACATTATTTCTCATGAATATTATGTGCGACTTGGTTTCCCTGCTCAATTTTGTATTGCTACCTTCTTGAACTCAACCCAGACTGCAGCTAGGAGTTGACCTAGACAAGAAACAAAACAAGAACTTAGCCCACATCGATATGTACAGTGCTGAAGCGGCGCAGCTGCACCAGCGCAGCTATGCTTCTGCAGTGTGTCTGGTGAAGACACTCTATGCTGACGGGAGAGAGCTCTCCCATTGGCATAATAAAACCACCTCTGTGAGCGGCAGAAGCTCTCCCGCCAACATAGTGCTGTGCACACAAGTGCTTATCTTGGTGTAACTTATGTTGCTCAGGGAGGGTGGAATATTCAGATCCCGGAGCGACATAAGTTTTGCTGATATAAGCTGTAGTGTAGACATAGCCCAAGACAGTTTCAGGTGCACGCCTTCAGAGCAGCTAAGAAATCAATTAGACCATTACTGGGAGATGCTACTTTGAGGTACTGAGGGAAAAAAACCTGTTAACTTTGCTAAAGGCTGAGATCCTAAAAAAATCAAAAGACACCGACTGGTTTAAAAGGTGCCCCTGGCAGAAAGGGAGGGGCATACTGAGGGGCTGACATACAGACAGAGACAGAGAGAATATGCTGTAAGCTGAGCACCCAACTCCAAGAGCTAGAATCAGCCAGACTCACTTAAGCTATGGACAGAGAGGTTAAGCTTATGTAAGGAAATATGCATGTAGATTTCTTTGTTATTATATATCCACTTTTCTAAGTGTTGTGTACCTTTTGACAAAATAAATCATGCTTTGTTTTGAAGAAGCTGTTTCTGTATCACTGCAAACATATGTTATGGGCTCCCAGCCTACTGGGCCTGTGACATAACATGGCTGGCAAGCAGGAGTGTACCTTGGAGACCCAGTTGGAGCGTGGTTGGATTGCAGGATCTCACCCTAAAAAGAAGTGGAGGCATAAGCCTTCTACTTGAAAGGAGAGCACTCCGGGCTGCAAAAGGGCCTCAGGGGCAGCCTACTCAGGGACTGTGACAAAGTGGCTTAGGCATTTGTAGAGAGGATTTTAAATGGCAGAAATACTAAGATTCAAAAGGAAGCTACTTAGCACCTATTTATTTCAATGAGAAATTGTATTAATGCTGTCAGTGCACGATTAAGCTTGGTTTTATATGGATCCAGAATACAGAAAGGATGATTGCTAATCACCATTCAAAACCTGGATTGTGCTATAAATGAGTATCAAGGATAATATATAAAATTCATCATTAACATGTACAGTATATTGACACGTTATGGAATCTAGGAACACGTCAGAATCACGTTAGAAGCATTTTTTATTCCCTTGCCTTTCTATCTTTTGAACTCTTCTATCAAAAAATATTTCTTTCACAAAAAAATTATGGAAACTAAAACATAGCAATAATACAGAGTTGGAAGGATTTGATTTTAAACTATAAAACACAAGAAAATACCAAGTTCAGGCTGCAATACTATCCTTAATGCAACAGTATGCGTTCTGAAAAACTGTGATTTTATGTGGTGCAATACCCTGGCACATTGGGGTATTTAATTAACTATTCTATGTCTGTGGTAAATAAACGTCAGCATCTCTGACGAAATTGGAAGGTGCTGTACTTTTTGGAAAAGAATTATTTTAGTTTATAAAATGCGCCTTTAAATAGGTCTACTATTTCCAATTTTATCACACTGGAAAAACTGGGATTGGTAAATATTCAGAAGTTATATTATCTTAGCAATGCTCTCTCTCTCTCTCCCCAATAGTCTCATTGATAAGGAGAAAGCACTACAAAATACTGATTATTCTTTCTCGCATTATTGTTGGGTTTCACGGCTACACAAGTAGACACAGCTCCTCATAGTATTCAACAATGAAAAGTGTGTGTTTTTTCATAAGAAAAATTCATTCACTTCGCTCCACGGGCAGATCTTTGCCAGTGTGGCATATCAAGCATTAATATGACTCCTTAAAAACTGACCACTAGCTCAGACCAGGTATTTGATATTTCAAATGTAAAGAGAATCTCTCTCCTTGAATAAAATACATTGTGGTTGAAAAGACAGCATTTGATCTCAAGAGATACTGAGCCCCTTGATTTCAATAGAAGTTGTCACAGGATCAAGCCCAACATTTTTAGATATATGTGGCATCTTTGAATGAGCTACTGGTGGCAGCCATCTTACTAAGAAGGCAACAAAATGTCTGGTATGGGAACCTTAGGAGGCAAAAGATGAACAACTGGTTTCTAATCAGCCTCAACAATCATAAAAACAACTTACAAAATGTTTGGGTTACATATTAAACATTAAAGTACCGATGTGACTGGTATTACTGATTGCCAGCGATAACTGCTAGAAATGCTCTTCTCATTCAGCTGCCTTCCTCAGCACTGTACAGGAGGGAATTTGTTAAATATCCTTCAAGCTCGCAGTGTATTTGCATTTTCCTGCAAGAGACATTTATCCAAAACCTGCTGATGCAGAGAAGCTCTTGTCTGTCTAAATTATACTGCAAACTCCTTGTGCGGAAAAAAATGTCTTCCCCTACGTTTTAAAGCAGCGAGCACATTGATTGCTGTCAACAAGTTAATAATAATAATTACAGCATGACCCTTAACTGTGTCTTGACTAAAGTGTTTTGCTCCTTTTCCTTACGTCAGTCAGCCAAGTACCACAGCACAAACACTTCTCACCCAGTGCTAGGCTGACTATACTCAGCCGATGGTTGAGGAACTTCTTTTCTTTCTGCTGCTCCTGTTGAATCCATCACAATAAGAGACTGAGGCAAACATCTCTCATCCTGTAGGGCTGCAGACATTGAGTCGGCAGAGCAGTTACTCACGATGCTGGACCGCGATGAGATCTCACTGTGGCTGGAGTCTGAGAAGTTATCAGATTTAGTGGATGGTATGAGGGCATAGCCTAAATGAGATAAGACATGCAGGAAATAGGAAAAAACATCAAAAAGAGAAGATGAAGTCTATTTATTCACCACCACATGAAAGCACTAAAAATATTTCAATGAGGCTATTCAGAAAGATCCTTCTCCCTCATGCCCATTTCTCTGTACGTTTTATGCCACTACCCTTCATAACAGGAATCAGGATTTATCAGTACAACGTGCTAATACCAAAATCAGCTGGTACTTACAGCCAAAACCCACTTAAACCAAGAGGTTAACTTAACATTACATATAATCAGCAATGGCAGCAAATTGCCCCAGGAATACCAGGTTGGTGTGCCAGGTTAGTTCATATACTTTTATACTTGTGGCTATACAACTAGCTAAGGTTGTTTTATACTTGTGGCTACAACCACTTAGCCACAAGTATAAAACAACCTTAGCTAGTGAAACAATGTATTTCCCCCAATCTTCCTGTACCACCTATTATGCGTGAAATTCAACAGAAAATGGGGGGTGTCTCCACTGCAAGCAAAGGCATGTCTGTAGCACAGCTTTAATCTAGGCAATAATAGTAGTTTAGACATAAGAACATGGTTCGCAAAACACCAAATGTGGTGGCAGGCTTCAGAACGGGCTAGCAACCAGAGTACATGTTAAATTAAAGCTAGCACAGGTATGCCTACCTATTAGAAATCATGCCCCCACTTGCAGGTGTAGACATGTGGTGTAATGAGGGTATGCTGATCATTGCCAAAATTTACACACACTGAAGGATAAGACATATGCTCCATCTCACTTTTCTTATTTACCTCATTATGAATCAGGAAACTCAAGTGGGCAGCTCACAAGTATGGGAGGTAGAAATTTTACAGCAGCTGGACCTGCACTGTGTAACGCACTCCCACGGTAAGCTCACCACTTACAGAACAAAATGTACAACTTATTTTTTTCTACTTGGGCCACTCTCAACATGTTCTTTTCTCTCTCTCTCTCACACACACACACATAAACAATACAACCCCTATAAACCAACCAAGTCTTTTCTTCTACAGCCTGGGAGGGAAAAGAAGAGATTAATAGCTTTGGGGGAGATTTTGTTAAGGTTTTCACCTCCCCCACACCCACCCCGTATGTCTATTCTGTCAACTTCTTGTATCCTGTTGGACACCTAAACTGCCAGCTCTCTGCAGCAGGGACTGTCCTCTGTTATTTGTCTGTGCAGCACCTAGAACAATGATGCCCTGATCCTTGATTTGGGTTTCTAGATGCTACTCTAATACAAACAAATTTAAAGAATAGTAACTAAAGTAAATGTAATCAGAAATTGTTATATTTCTTTTCCAGCTAATTTTCTTATGTTTGTTGTTTGTAGATTTTAATTCTACCTCAGGCCTTGACAAGTTAGGAGGAATATTCACAGCTGCATTCAGTGCAGGAATCTAATTCACTACCCACTCTGCACTGCTGCAGAAACCAAGCGGCAGCATGGAAGGCTGTCAAGTTAGAAAAATCCCATACGACTTAAGGAGCACTAAATTGTTCTTTTCAAGAGGCAACAGAACACTCCTTTCTTGTCAAATGTGATTGGACTTCAAACAAGTTTAAACCTAATCTTTCACCTCTCATCACTGGCAATCCTGACTCTGGATGCTACGTGAAAAATATAAATACAAAAACCTGTGTCAAGCAGCTAAGATTCTGCCTTGTATTTTAATACAAGGGTTGCTACAGTTACTGTATAAAATCACATGAAAAAACATTTGTAACTGAAAGTCAGCTCTACCAGTTCAGTGCCAGAGTACTGTTATGCCATGTGTGAAATATGGATTAAAAAATTATCCTGATCTTGGAGCACAGAGACGAGGCACTTTGTTCCTGAAGACCTGTATTTGTGGGTCCCTATTGAATCAACTAGTCTCATAAAAGAGTTTCCCGATAGTTTTAGGTGAGAGGATGTTCATGTTAATGACACTGTCAACCACAGACAGAGGGTACCGGTATAAGAGTTAAAAAGCGCAGCCATCAGAATGATTGCACATTTATGTCTGTGGTCTCCTCCATGGCAGATATTTTGTAAGTGCTTACATATGCTGAGGCTAATTTATGGGATACATAACAATATTCATCCCTAAATAGCATAGTCCAAGATATGGTAAGAGTTGCACAAATCACCTGTAACAGCTAGATTTCAAATTAGAGCTCCTTTTTTGTTTTTAAATTTAACACACATCACCCTTTCAAAAACAGCTCAGGGAATATATCAGTTTTAGGTGAATGGGCTCTAACTTTTGAGCTTCCCAACTCTGGTGAAAACAGGGGTAAATGGACATATAAATACTTAATTTTTTACTCTAATGCTAATTTTCAGTTTAAGTTAGTGGTCCTCAAGTGCAAGTTGAACCTCATCGGTGTGTCATGGGAGCCCCTTAACATTTTTGACAATCAATGCTGGAAGCTGGAGTGTAGCCTAATGCTTCTCCATGGACGTGCTTACCAAACGTGCTGAGAGTAAAATGACTGGGATGGTGAGTGTTTCAATCACAGCAGGCACTACAGCTGAACTAGCATAGTGAAGGACTGCTAGTAATTCTGTATCGTTATCTGCCAGCCTGAACTGGAGTAGAAAGGGAAAATACAGAGAAAGATTCAAAGGGTGGGGAGGAAGAGAAGAGGGATGGATTGAGACAAATTAGGAGGAGGAAGAGGAAAGACAATAGAGTGGTCCACATCATTCCTTCCTAGCTTTGGTAACATGCATAATTTTTGCACTGAGGTTTATGTGGGCTACCAAAATTAAGAGATGGACTACCAAAAGGTGTCATTTGTCATGTTACGAGATTGTCATTTCTAGTAAATTTGTCTACCAGTGGGTTCTGGGATTGCGCTATAGCGCTAGACTCATTGAATCAGATTCAGACCTGAAGTCAATTACACCAGCTTTCATTAGGCTCCTGTTTGCTTCCTTTATTGTAGGTACATCTCAAACAAAAAGTTTGAACACTACTATGAAATACACAGAGGTTTCTTTTTCACTCCGACCAATTTTGCTGTGTTAGGTACACTGTAAAATTCAAACAAACTGAATACACTCCCTCGAGCTTGTGTTTTGTTTTTGAAAACAAGTGACAGAAAAGTCCATTACCTACCAAACAAGGACCCTGCATGCCTAGACTTTAGTTATAACGTGCTATGGGTACTTGCCTGGCATTTAATGACTGACACATTGTTCTTTTAGATATGCATGAGCAAAAATAAAAAAAGGTACTGAAAGTACAGGATGTCAAAACAAACTTTGGTTCTGAGTGGAACTATTCCTAATACATCAGCTCAGTTACCTTACATCGTAACCAACATACTCTGAAATCTATTTAAAATGAAGTAACATATTTTGCAAGCTTATTATGGTTTTGCTAGCAGCTGATATCTTGTACTAGTGATAGCAGTTTTACTGGTTGGCTTCCTGCAGCTTTTCTGTGCTTTCCCTCTGAGTACAGAACAGAATGCATTTTCAATAGCATATCATTTGCAATGTCTGTCACAGTTAAATTGCTCTCTCGTTCTGAACTGAAACTCTGTTAAAAGAAAATTATGGCAATTGGTTTTCTGATCCCTCTGAGCTCTTTTTCATAATAAATTATAAGCTGTCAATGGAAATTTGGCTGGATCGCTGAAGTTTTTTGTTTATATTAATAATTGGGTTGATGTGGTCTAGGAGTTGATTTGCAGAAAATAGTGGCCTCTTGTAGTGAGTCAGGTCAGGTCTTGTTTTTCTGTCCAACTATGATAGTCTTCTTTTGGAATTAAAATAGAGGTAAATCAGAAATAAAATTAACTAATGAGCAGCTCTCTCTCAAATCTGCTTTCTTTAACATTTTGTTTAAGATAACAGTCTCCCCTACCATTTGTGGGTCATTCTTTGATTGAGGGAAGCATGCCTTAGACTAAGGCTTCTACCTTCTTTTAACATTTAGATTTTCATCCTTCTTTAGGGTTCCTACAGAGTGACTGGACAAGGTCCACTCTATTTCAAGCTAGACTTGAGCAGTCTCTCCTGCCTGCACTGAGACAGATAATGCTTACTAAGTATTAGAGTTGATACGTTCTATTGTGAGTACAAACACATACATGCACATAAGAATTGACCCTTCATTTGATGAGGACAGTGGGACATTTGAGAACAGAGACTTCACTTAGCCTCTGTTAAGATTTCCTGGTAAATTAACCAAAGCACTATCTAATTTCTTCACAGGAGACCATACAAAGCTTGCAGCTGATGCGCTGTTCTCAGATCAAGATTCTTTCCCAGTTGTACTAGCATGAATCAACAGTTTCTCACTTCATCTTTAAGTAAAAATCTACATGGCGTACTTTTGTACTGGACAGTGAAACATTTACTTCAGAATCAGAGAAAAATCTGAACAGACCCATCTATATGAAAGCAATTTAAGTGACATGTATGACTCAGCATGATGACTGATGCCCTGCATACCAAGATAACAATGATCAAATAACCTGACTTTGGAGGCAATGGCCATGCTGTATAACTCACATATATTTACAGATTATTTTTACAGTTTTTGAAGCTTGGGCACACAAATTAAACTTTGAGACAGATACGCTCATGTTTATCAAACTAGAGTAACTGTAACTTTAAGAGTAAATAAATGTATTTAAGATTGGCATTTTAGATTAAACTCAATTTCTTTACTTTTCAGTATATTAATATGCAACACCATATATTTCTAAATTTCATCTGTTCATGTCTTTCATGAATTTAAATATTTAAGTATCGTTATTACTTTTTCCTCTTAATGAAAAGCCAACCTACACACACGTATAACTTTTAAGAGACCTTTTATCCAGACGCTGACTCCTGAAATTAAACAATTAGACCATCATAACAAACACCACCACTATAGTGGATTTTTTTTTAAAAAAAAAAACACTCTTCATCTAAGAATCTCAAAGAGCTTTACAAACGAGTTCTTGTAGTTGTTGTGAAACAGACTTGCGCTATCTGAAAATTAGGAAGGGATTGATTTATATCATAATGTACGTTCTTGGGCAATCAAGATTACTACCCTGTCACCAGTAAGGAACACTAAAGTATGTCTGACAGAAACATAAGGCAGCATAATACAGTGGCTGCTTTTATTAAGCAATATTTGCAGGAGTTTGCAGAAATATTGAGTATTTTTAAGTCTAAATAATATGTTACAGATTTTAATATTTCTGTGGATTTCAAGAAACTAAAATTTACGGGGTAATGTAAATAAATCAGGACTGTATGTTTACATAGAATTTCTAACCTTAGCACTAAAGTACACTAATTCAAATATTTTAAATGATTTCTAATGCCAGTCTCAGGTGAAGAACTGCCCTTAAAAAGATTCGGTGAAGGGGTATTTGTTAGTAACTAAAAATATATATATACACACTTGAACATGAATCAATGCATATGTACAATATTGATACCATTTAAATGCCTGATATAAAATGGAGAAAGTGCATCATATAGTCTTCCTCCTCTTGGGCCTCAATTGTGGACAGAACCAGACAAGTGTATTACTGTTGCCATGGCTATTTGTACTTAAGGCATCACTGTCTATGTCCTTTGGTTTTTCATTTCTTTCTGTAGCTTGAATGTAATCTGCCTCCTTTTTACTTGTAAAAGCTGGTCTCTCCCTGGAGAAACTTCTTTCCCTATGTCTTCCAAATGGGGATCTCATTCTTTTCCTGTGCTTATTCTCAACTTCTGCCTTGTCTCTATCATCCTCACTTTCTTTCTTTTCACTACTGCCAGAACCATGTGTTGCTCTGCCAGTGATCTCCTGAATTTTCTTTTGTAAATAAATCCCACCTATTCCATAGCTGCGTTGCCCACTGTTCTTGTTGCTGGTTTCACTGGCAAGCGATGAGGAGGAACCAGAGAGATTCATTTGACCACAGTTATCAGACCTCTGGATGTTACCAACTACAAAGAAACACACAACGTACAAATCTTTGTAAATGACAAAATATCTGACAGCAAAATTAACATTTTGATTTTAACCTAATAAAAACTTTTTTCTTAAATCCTGCATAAGGCCTTCTTCGGGTAGAGCTCAGAGAATAAAGAGAATAAAACCTGCAATAGGAGAACTAACTGAAGTTCAGGACTGAGATAGGGTATTTCAGTCATTCGTGAAGTATATTTTGAATTTTAATTCAGTAATGAATGTTACTACAACATACAAGACGGGATATAAACTACCTTGATCAAAACAAGCTGGTGCTAAAAAAACCCCCTCAAAACAAACAAAAACCCCCACATGATAAAAGCAAGTCAAACTAATGAAATCATCCAGAAGAAAAGAAATATGATTCTCATGGAACCATATGAAAGTTAATGTAAATCACATGTTTACAGAAACATACAAGCAAAAGTAAGGCTTGAAAACCCCATCAGAATAAGAATTGGCAGCAGGATTCAATAAGAAGGCCACACAGACACTTCTTTTATATATGTATTATGATGATAAAACAAAAACTAATGACACCCTCCTAAAAGAAACAGTGTCTTGTGGTGCCAGAAGCAAATTCTCATGAGATCTTGCCAAGCATGATCTCCTGCTGAGAAGTGTAAGATGATCAATAAATTCCCATGCACGGTTCCCAATCCAATCCCTCATTCTCAGGGTTGTCAATAATTCAGAGACAACAGTTCAGAATGAAGGAAGGTGGGACAAATGCCTTACACTATTCAGCAGTGACCACTCTGGCCGACTAGTAAGTGTGATGTTAGCCGGCTTCCAAGGGAATCCCATCCAAATGTGACTAGTGAATATTGTGATGTAGGTCCTTCAAGGCAAAGGGTTTAAAAATAAGTGGACCTACAGAACATCATGATAGCAAGGAAAACTCAGCATACAAACACAAAAATGTAAATGGTGAGACCCAGGATTCGGCAGGATGCATTACTTATTTTCCAATACACCTTTGTAAGTAACAAAGTTTTCACCAAGATCCTGAATTCTATCTGGCATTGCACCTGCATCTCCTGTCACAGCATGTCTGCACAGTAGTTCAGCAAAAATCCAGGGTTTGGCTAGATTTATTTTTGATGGATGGAGGAAAAAAGTATTTAATGTTTTTTGCAAGGCCAATTTTAATAATAAAAATACATTAAAGCTAGTAAAACAAAGACTTACAGTATGATTAGGGAAAAGCTTCAAGAGAGGTCGAATGTCCCAGGTATAAGATTAATTTAACAGTGTAGTGCTCAAGACATACATACATTAACTCACCAAAAGCAGTGCTCAGACAGAGAAACTTTTGGAAATGTTATCCTAAATTACTTAGGCACCTAAATCCCATCTGTGAAAGTAATTTAGGTACTCAGGAGCCTATATCACATAGATTGTCAATGAGACTTTGGCTTCTAAGTGCTTAACTCACTTTTGAAAACTGGACTTAAGTGCTTTTCAAAATTTTAACAAGGTCTAATTTCAGACTTAAATCTCAAAAATGTACATACTGTAATTGGAAAATGGTGTACTGTATATTAATTTTTACAGAAATACGTTCATCCACCTTACTATAAAAAAACACATTTCTTGACATAAAGTTGCTATACTCACAGAATCACTTAAATAAATGATAAATCCATAACAACCTTTATAGTATAACAAAATACTGAGTTCCTGAGATGGAAGCTTAAGTATAGTATAGAAGCATATACTCCTACCTTTGTGTGGAGAACCCTGAGGAGAAGCAGGAGGACTGGAGTGCAAAGAGGATGCCATAGATATACTATCTTCTGCTTGTTTCTTACTACTTACTTCCTCAGACAAACTGAGTGACTTCTGAGGAGAACCCGTACCTATGACGATGACAGAAATTTACTTTGTACTGTTCTACTTTCAAGGCAATATGTTTGATATCTGTTTTAATTACAACCAAGGGTGAAGTTGCATAATGGCTAGTGTAAAAGCATGAACAGAAAGAGGCGTTGGATTGTTTAAGGAGATTAGTAATGCAGTAGTGGGTTGACATTTCAAATTTAACTCAGGTCAAAAGTGGTCAAAAGATTTGCTATCTGATGATTGCTCAGTGTTCCATCTCAAACGAGTTTAGTGGCTTTCAGGTGGCAATAGGAACCATCACAATCGACACCCTGTTAGAGAGCCTTTGCAGAAAGATTAAGGATTGAATACGCTATGAAGCCTGAAATCTCCTCCCAATACACTGTTATGACAGCATGGGGAAGTGTATACGGTCACTGTCCATACCACACCACTTCAGGAGATAAAGAACTTTGTATCCAGGGCTGTCATTCCAGCACTTGTTCTGAATTTCTACATTCATACTAACCCCCTCCGCCCCCCACAAAAAAAGCATATAGAGAACTTAGTTGAAGCAAAACATAGAAATTGGCTTTTCTCATTCTCCACTAGTAAGTCCTATGTACTGTAGTATATTACAGTTAAACTCCTGATACATTGTTAGTGAAACACAGAACTTTTCAAACATCCAGGAGAGAAATAAGACATCTTTGCAGTTACACCATGAATTAAGCACAACTCAAATTGCACAGACACTTAAGTAGATTAAAGTAGAAGCATATGCCATTTTTAATAGAGAACACACTGAGGCCAGATTTTTAAAGGAGGAGGCCTGAGGTCTGCACAGAAAAATGCACTGCAATTGCATGTCTACGTGCCTGGGAAATTACCACTATTCCACATATAAATCAGGTTATTGTGTATGAAAATAGATATTTAGGTGCTAAAACAGTCATCTATATGCACAAAAGAGGTGATTACATTGCCAACCATTAAAATTTTAGCCTCATATTTATTTGAAAATTAAAATTCAGTATTTGTGCAAGTGACTTGATGTTTCAATTGCTGTAGTATTTTTATTGCTCATGACATAAGAAAATGAGGCTGCTCTTTATTATCAATATAAACCAATAAAAGAATAGATAAATTAAAAGTTGTTTTCAGTAAAAGACTAGTACCGCCTTTTGCACCACACAAGCCTGAGGAAGGACAAATATTTGGCCTTCATACCCCGCAGAGTTCAGAAGAAATTGGGCTGGGCCTGGAAATCATTCTTACTAAATTCCATGAGTGGTCTGAGGAGAGATTTATTCCCCAAGCAACTTCTTCCTCAGAAAGATTATTTTTCCGGAAGCTTAAGGGGTATTATAGACTAAGTCAAGTATTGTACTTCTACCTCACCAATGTATTTTGTCAGTTATTAGTAATCATATCGGGTGGTAAGCATCCAAATATGCAGAGGTGAAATGTCAGGTTTAAAAAACTGGTTAAAGGAGGATCTGACTAATGAGGGTTTGTTGGAGCCTGAGCTCCAGTAGTTCAACAGGTGTCCTAAACACTTTTCATAAAGGAGGTAAGAGTAAGTGAAAACAGACCCACATAGTTCTGGCAGTCAAGCTCCAATACCAAGTTGAGTCTGTTCAGCTGGAGTACTTCAAATGATATGGTGGATGAATAAAATTTAACAGCTATTTAAGTCCGCAATTTACTCTACTTCCTACAACTAGGAGAGGGAATAAGAAGAAGATGGAAAATAAGCTTACTATAAAAAGTTATATTCCCTGAAAGACATCACTTTAACACACTTTACTTTATTCCTTTGGATTTAGATTTTAAAGAAAGATATGTAAGATGTGGCAAAAACATTTGATGTGCCATAGTGTTGGTTAAGAAGCTGAGAGGCAGTGAGTCAGGACGTGCGATAAAGAGCTTAGTATTTTGTTTTTTTCACTCACATTGCAGTGCTAAAATCTGTGACTGACAGAACCTGCATCTTCAAACAATCAGGGATAAAACAATTTATGAGAGGAATCAATTTCTGTTGGCCAATTTAAAGATAGGAAGTTAGAAAGCAAATCTATGTCCATGTTTGAAATAACAGTAAGAATAAGGGGAAAACAACTTTTGTGAAGTTGAACTAACTTTCTTGATGTCTTCTTTAAGTTTTGAAGTGGAAATCGATGCAGAATTGTTTTACGCTATTCACTAACTTTATTCAATGTTTTATTGAATAATTTAATGTCATTTAAAATTGTTTTAGCTTTAAAATATTATGTATCATTCAAAGTCATGAAGACAAAAAAAAAAGCAAGCAACATACATTTCAGAGATGGAAATAGGTCAAAGGGATATTATTTAACAGCATTTTAATATAGAACCCTGAGAGCCTCAGACATTGGTAAATTTAGATAACGGGAAACAAATAAAATTTTTTGATGCTTACTAAGAGTTACTAATAACACTAAAACATATGTTGTTCTGTTTGACCATAATGCCATTACAATGGTACTCCACAGTTTGAAATATTAAATTTCCTGTGATTTATTTCTGTGATTACACTCAGTAAAATGTATTATATTCATGTCATAAAAGCAAAAAGGAATGTAATTCTACTCAGTTTGTAAGATTTCCATTCAGAAGAATAGAAATATATACTGTTAGGCACAATGGTGAATCACCTGCTACCTGCCCTGTTATGATGGTAGGCTTGTTACTTTAATTAGCCTGGTTCAGAAACTGAACTAGTTCTACTTTTTCAAATAGCACTCTCTGAGGCAATGGTTGTTTTCTTGCCAATATATATGTTATAGAAGAGGCCTATGAAACTAAAGCAAGAAAGTATCTTTACATACAATGGGATTTGTAATTAGAAACATTAAGAACTAAAAAAGGTATTAGAAACTTAGTTGTGCAAATAATTTAAGGTATGTTTTGTTCTTTCTTGTGGGATAAACATTATGCTTTCTTATACATAACTAAATGGAAATGAGTTTGAGACATGTTGTAAATGAAAAGGGTAAATGAAACCTTGAACTATTGAGGTTGAACTATTGCAATGCTTCCATAATAAATATTTCAAATATTTGGTTGATTTGGAATCCAATCCCTCTCCCCTTCTCAAACTTACTAACCACACAATTTACTTTGAATACTGGAAATACAAATTGCAGATACTCACTGAAGGTGACATGGTCCTTAGCTGGTCCTTTTTTTCTAATAGGGTACAAATTAACAGCTGGAACTTGGAGAACTTGGCTCATTCTGTTTTGTTGATGCAGATGGGCTTTTGTGGTTTGACCAACTGACCTCATGGGTATTGGTGACATTTCTGAAGATTTTGCGCCTCTTCTCTCATTTAAATTCTTGGTCACTGTAATGGGAAAAAAAGGAATATTAGTAATTTTGCACTCTAATTTGCAAGATTTATTTTAGCGATATTGAAGAAAATGACTGACCAGACAACAGCCACCTTTTAAACAGCAGTCTATACTATAACGTAGATAATATCTATTCAAGGCGCTCCAGTCTTGTTAGATTTCAGAGGCAAAAACATAAAAACAAGTTAAAAATATTCCTAATATTTCAATATTTTTTCAAATAGTTATGTAGGCACACAATGCAATGAGAAATTATTTGATTTACTCCCATTATAACTGAACTCCACTAATAGCATATTTTAGATTTCAGTGCAAAATTACAACATTGAAAAGCATGAACATCGCAACTATACAGGAAGTGTCCTCACAGCAACTGTACGCAGTGGGTCCTTTGTCCAGCTAGCTGGAAAAAAAGAGGTAGCTTCCCCTATAGGAGGCTCCCTCTGCAATTGGTGGCAGAGGGAAGGAATGAGAAAGTTTACCTGGACAGAGCAGGGAGAAACAGGAAGTGGCTGGATGAGGTGCATGTGAGAGGGCACTATCCTTCCAGGTGACCAGGTATTTATATCCTGGGCAGTTCCAAAGAAGTAAGGTGACTGTATTTTCCCAAAAGGAAAACGGGATACCACATGGGGCTGGCCCGATCCCCGTCCTCCCACGTGCAGGGCCGGCACAGGCCTGAGCCGCTCTCCTGAGCTCTCTCTCCTGCGTGGGGCTGGCCCAGCCTGGGCTGCTCTCCCTCCCATGTGGGGCTGGTGTTGCCAATTCCCACCCCGCTCCCACGTTCCTTTGCACCCCACTAGGGATTGCATCCTACTTGTTTGACAAAACTGTGCATTTGTCCCGTTTGCTCTTGCCAACTGATCAGCAGTCAGTGGTCATCAGTGGTCATCCTACAGAGAAGCCCTCTTTCACTGTGATCAGGCTGACTTGACTTGTAGCAGATATGTTTTTGATATTAATGACATTTATGTGTCTAACTTATTCTCTTTAAATTAATTTTGCAACATTAGGATTACCGAATTACATGTTAGAGTCCAGGTAGTATCAAGTCTTGCTGCAAGCAAAACTAGGAGAATTTTTAGTATTTAGACAACAGCTTCAGGAGCCAGGTAAATAAAAACTGACTAAAAAAAAATTAAATCAGATTTTTTATTTTAAATTTAATGTATTTTTAAACAAACATATAAAATTAATTTTGTTATAATAACTTATGCTAATGTCTAAACTATTATCTGTTAACGTAATTTAAATTAAATAAAAATAATACTACTCAAGCAGTACATGTTTGCTGCCAAACTTTTAAAGAAAGTCAAACCACTGAACTGGTGGAAGTCACTGGAACAAGATTGTTGAAGTGCTAAATCAGCTTTTGACAGAAACAGCCTCTTTTGCAGGTGCAGAGAGAATATTTTCTTCATTTCAGTTTATTCAACTAGTTCAGTTCAATGTAGGGACGCTGAGAGCAAAGGGAAAAGGGAAAATAATACTAGCCCCCCCCATAACGTCTGCAACATTTGCATAAATAAAGGGATTTGGGAGGGGTTGGGTCCCCAGTTCACATGACGTACTGGGGCTCCAAATTTCTCTCGACGGACCTGGTTTAATGACTAGTTCATTCACAGTTAAACTGACTGGGAGCTGAAAAGGCAGGAAAGCATGTTTTCCTCTTTCAATCCATGAATTTAAAACTACTGTACTTGTGAGAAGATGACATCTACTAGTTCTAAAAACTTGAAGGACAAGTTGACCAGAAACAATCAGTTCAATTCACTAACTACTGATAATACTTCCTTTGTTTAATAAATCAGTTTTAAATGCAAAACACATTTTACAAATTTACTTTTCTTATGAAGCCTGCACTGCACATTAAAGGTAGTTTTAATAAAAAACTTTAAAATGCTGTTTTATGAATTTAATTGAATTCCAAATTCCATTCATCTAGAGCTTGACACAGATCATAAGTAAAAAAATTAACCCTCTAGTAAATAAAAAATGCATCATTCACCATTTTCTAACAAATTTAAAAATGTAAAAATTAAGAATCTGAATAGCTAATTGCTTAAAGAAATGTGTATAGTGTCTTCTCTTGGTTAGGAAAAAAGTACCAAGTTTTATGCAAAGGCTATAGTGAGTTGCAAACAAACATATTTTAGTGGTTACCAATCAATGATAATCAACCTCTCTTTAGGAAAATAACAGCAAAGTACACAGGTGAAAACAGATTTAAATTGATTATTTAAATCAATGTTTAATACACTAATTTAAATCATGATTAAAATCGGTGATTTAAATCACCTTGATTTAATTCAATCCACCTTGCTGAGAAGCAGTGTGTTTGTGCATTTCTGAATCTCTCTCTTCAGAAAGATTATCCACTTGTTAATCCATATATATATATATATGCGCCCCAACTCAGGAAGACACTTTAACATGAGTGTAAATTTAAGCACAGGACTAATCCCATTGACTGGAGTGGGACTAAATGAATTAGGTACATGTTTATGTACCTTGCTAAATTAGGGCCATAGTAGGTTATGCCACTGTGTACTTTTCATTCACAATTCTTTCCACTTCCGCCATGGTTTTAAAGTAAGAAAATAGGATTAGCCATAACAGAACAAGTCAAAACACTAGTTCCTGTGGTCAAACTTTGGCTGTGGCCTAAACCTGATAGCTGAGAAGAGAGCAGCCCTTGTCCTCATTTTTGCAGTCTTCCAATTGTGAAAGTGTTTTTTAAGGTTTAGGGAAAGGGTACAAGATTCCTAAGCAACTCCCACTAGCTGCTAGTTTTTTACTTGAATTATAAGGTTTGCTTTCCTCTGTTATTTGAGCTAGTCAGCTATATTAGTACAGCTCTCTCTCTACTATATTTATTCATGTGTCCATTTAATACCATCTTGTAAAAGCATCACAAAAATCTGACTTGTATTGCTGTAGCACATGGAATTAAAATGGTCAGTATAGACTCTATATCTAAACAAATACATAATGGTAGTGTTGCACAAACGGGATAAACAGTATTTGAAGTCTGGATGTCATGATTTATTTAAAAGAATTGAAAGATAACCTTGTAACACTCACGTGTCTGACACTTGGGCATGATAGGGTCATCTTTTAAGTTTGCACATAAATCATACACTGAGAATTCCACATTATATGTTCTTTTATTGCTACTAAAGAAGAAAACTGAATATAAAATGTAGTGCATGGTTCTGCCTCCAAGTGTGAGCAAACTGTGTTATTACCATACTTTGCCAAACATACAGCACAAGAAGCAGGAAAAAAGGCTGTGTTCATGCTGTGCTTTCTTTGTTCATGCAAGCTACTCTTTTTTTTTTTAAATTACTTGGCATATTCTCTGACAGTGCCAACATGAAATTCAAAATCACTAATTGGATTCAAGCATGGCCATTTGCATGAGCCCCAAATCACTTCCATTACAGAAAACTTTTAATAAATGTTTTGTATAAGCAACAACACTACAAGAAATCTTAAAAAGAAAGCCCTCTACAATTCACAGATGAGATACTGTCAAAAAATTGGAAATATGATCTGTTAGGCAGGTGTCATTTAACAGAAAATTATAAGGTGGTAAAAGGGCCTCAAAGAAACTAATCACAAACTGACTTTCTAAAATTAATGAGTATTTCTGAGATTGTTCTCAATACTAAAATGGAACAGCACTGGACACTCACTGGTAATGGTGTCCCTGCATATTCCTTAAAAACACACCCATAGGCTTGGAAGGATTCGATTTTTATCAGTAAACATTGATTTCACTGTATGCACAAATACCAATGAAAAAATATTTCCATTGATAATAGAAATTAGCAGATAGCCAAAGAAAGAAAAAATGCTGATGAGAACTTGGAGTTTGACTGAAGGATATATACTTGGTATAATTTTGACATTTTGTATTTTAATAGTTATAAAGCTTTAAACTTTCTCAAACCCAGTGTCTACTATCATTAACTAATTATCATCTGATTCTCCTATTGTCTAATCTCCCCCCTTAATTTTCCACAACTGTGAACATTTAAATTGATAAAAATATTAAAATGCTTATAAACAAACATTGGTATTATCCATCAAAATTATAAAAAAAATAAAAATTGAATTCTGCCAAGTCTACCCATAGATACTTTGAGACATGTAAAACCTGGCACATATTTCTTGATGATCAGGTCTCACTTCAACTTGGATTCTGACATTAAAAAAAAAAAAAAAAGGAGTGAAGACAGTAACAACAGGTAGATCAGACACTCGACTACTTAACAGACTTTCCTATAAAACAAGACTGCACTCTAGTACGGTGCTTTTCAACCTCTTTTTCATTTGTGGACCCCTACAAAATTACAAACAGAGGTGCGGACCCCTTTGGAAATCTCAGTCAGTCTGTGGACCCCCAGGGGTCTGCGGACCACAGGTTGAAAACCACTGCTCTATGATAACGACAATCTTTCGCAGACCTCTTAGAGCAGTGTTTTTCAAACCGTGGGTCCGTACTGAGTCGGGGCATGTAAGACACTGGGTCGCCTTGCTCTGGTCAGCACTGCCGACCGGGACGTTAAAAGTCCCGCCGGCGGTGCTGCTCAGCTAAGGCAGGCTAGTGCTTACCTTTTCCGACACCGCGCTGTGCCCTGGAAGCAGCCAGCAGCGGGTCTGGCTTCTAGGTAGGGGGGCCACAGGGCTCCATGCGCTGCCCCCACCCCAAGCACTGGACAACGGGAGCTGGGGGTGTGGAGCAGTGCCTGTCGGCGGGAGTCGCGCAAAGCTGCTTATGTGCCTCTGCCTACGAGCTGGACCTGCTGCTGGCTGCTTCCGGGGCACCGCGTGGTCTGCGGTGCCAAGACAGGTGGGAAGCCTGCCTCTGCACCCCGTCTGCGCTGCTGACCAGGAGCCGCCGGAGGTAAGTCCACGCCCCAACCCCATGCCCCAACCTCCTGCCCCAGCCCTGAGCCCCCCCCAAATCCAGAACCCCCTTCCTGCACCCCAAACCCCCCATCCTTGGCCACACCCCAGAGCCTGCACCCCCCAGCCCAGAGCCCTGACCCCTCCCGCACCCCAACCCTCTGTCCCAGCCCCGAGCCCCCTCCCACACCCTGAACCCCTCATTCCTTGGCTCACCCCGCAGCTCTCACCCCTGCACCGCAACCCCCGTCCCAGCCCTGAGCCCCTCCCACATCCCAAACGCCACATCCCCAGCTCCGCTGGGTCGTGGGCATCAACAATTTTCTTCAACTGGGTCCCCAGAAAAAAAGTTTGAAAACCGCTGCCTTAGACAAAGACCACCAGGGTTGACCACAGGTTGAAAACCACTGCTCTAGTACCAAAACACTGACTTTCTGAGGTCCAGCCAAACTTCAGCTCTAAACTCGGAGAAGACAACCCTGTTGGCTATATATCCATGAGCTTTCCATTCCAGAACCTGCCTTCAAACACCCAAATCCCTCCCACATAGACTTCCCTGGGTTGCTGCTGTTATAAATGCTGCTACTCCATACTTCTTGAGAACGCTCTATTATGTAGCCACAAAACAATTTCATTGGGGATGGGGGAAGGAGAGGGGAAGAAAAATTACACACAAAAACAAGAGCCTATATACCTTGCAAGATGACCAAGGGAACGTGTCTGTACACCACACTTGCCTGTGGAGGTGAAAGTGGGGAAAACAATGCTTTGGAAATGGAAAATATCTGAATACAAACCAATATATTGGGTGACAATATGGCAAGATCACACACCACGTTAATAGAGCAGGGAGGATACCTAGCAAGCAAGTTAATTCTTGATGTATCTATCATCCATTTCATTACTGTGATCCTAAAGGGAAGAGCTAAGTATTCATCCTGGGAATCAAAATTCTCAAGTCCTATTCTTCATTCTGCAAATGACTCCAAGACAGGCAAGTCATTCACTTACTCTCTGTACTCTGTTAACACATCTATAAAATGGACATAATGCTATTTATGTCATGAGGAATTTCAGAGGCTTAGCTAAATTAATCGAAAGGGCTTTGAAATCCTCAGATAAAAGACAGTATTTAAGTGCAAAGTGATCATTTCTGCAAATACACCTCTACTCCGATATAATGCGACCCGATATAACACGCATTCGGATATAACGCGGTAAAGCAGTGCTCCGGGGGGTGGGGGGGTGGGGGGGGCGGGGCTGCGCACTCTGGTGGATCAAAGCAAGTTCGATATAACACAGTTTCATCTATAACGTGGTAAGATTTTTTGGCTCACGAGGACACCGTTATATCGAGGTAGAGGTGTATATACCTTTCCTTCTTTCTACCAAACAATCTTAATTCCTTCCCCACTAGCTCACCTTAGTTAAGGTGTCAATAACTTATTTACAAAAATAATTAAGTATCAAAACCACATGCAATTATAATTGTTAATTTTAAAAAATAGGAATTTATTGAACTGTGTAGTATATAAGGGTAAAATATAGATGAGACTAAAGCTTATTTAGTAAGGTAGTCTCAAAGGAATTTAGTTTACAAGATTTTTCCTGCTGCTGCCCTTCATTTTTGACTGTCAAACCATGTCAGTCTCATCAGTCAACGCTGGCAATATTGGCATAACTTTCTCCCTGCTGTTCAACTCTTATTGTAAGCCATAATGCAAGAATTGCTTATTTACTCCTTATCCATGGCTAGTTTCTATATTGGTTTTGTGTCTTTTCATTTCCTTGCAGCTCATATGGTAAATGTTACTTTTATCCTTCCTTAATTCTGTAAAGTGACAGTGCAGCAAGAATGGATCAAATGTACTATAGGATTCTTTGGCAGACTTATTAAATGACGCACAACTTAACAACTAAAGGTCAAAAATAAGAGCTGTCACTCCAGACTTGTGCAAGTGCAATCCAAGACAAATGCTGGGTTGCTGAAACCGTATCAGCCAGGGTTTTTTTAGTGTCTGCAATGACAGTTACATTTCTTAGTACCTTGACATTTTTTTTTTTTGTTAAAAACATTCCTAAATTTATATTTGAAGTAGTAGGGCCATCATTAAAAATACTGTACATAATCAAGAAGTGACAGTCCTTTAAAAGGGTCTTCTTCTATGCAAACATATTGTTATGTTTCTAGCACAACAGCATACGTAACCAGGTTCGTATGGCAAGGAGGGTAATCCTCTCCACCAGCAACCTTGTCTAACTGAGTTTGCTTTACTTACAAGTGCTATATGCAGGCTCGCATTGAAGTGACATGATCTGGAATTTTTCCTCATCGGTTTCCACATTCAGATTGGAAAGGTACTGCTTCACCTTCCTGGCCATCTGGGCATCCTCATACAGCTTCTTGGCATTAAGGAGTGAGCTGCGTCGAGCACGTTTTTTGTGAGCACCTCCTTGAACATCAAGCATGTTTGAGTTTGTGCTGCCCTGGCTCAGAGACCTACAAAATGAAAAGGCAAATCAGTAAACTTCAGGCTCACTTCAAGAATGAAGTGCTACAGTAGCATATGCTGAAGCAGATTAATACCAGCACACTTCAGTTATGGCTCGTGCATGCTGATGCAAATGAGTTAAAGAGATGAATAGCATTAAAACAGCATTTGTCTTAAAGTAATTTGGTAAAATGACAAGAGTGTATTGAGTCTAGAAAGGATTACTCGTGAAAGTGTGGAACTGGCAAGAACCAGGCAAAATGCTGTGTAAGCTGCCTATACAGCTTTGCTAATTTAGCTCTGTTCTGCAAAACCCCTACCATTTCAATTCTGGGTTACGCTGGCAGACAGAAGTACCGACAGTGTTGAAGTTGGTTTAAGTAATTTGGTCCTTAGCATATGTTTATCTGAGACTGAAAACCTAATTTCTTGCAGAGGTGAACTATTACTGAATTATCCTACCCCAAAATGTCTGAAGAACTGGTAAAGTTGTGATAAAAAGAAAAGCAGTCTCATATATACGAAGTGCATTATGTTGCTCAATCCTCATTCTATTTTGCCAGCTAGAAATGATGGCCACAACAAAGCATTTTTTTTTTTTTTTTGTTGGACTGACAGCACAGGAAACTGCAGTCTTCTATTTCTCAAAATGGCAGGCATAGAAGGACAGTGACAGTCCATGCTTTGCTCTTACTGGCCTATCAATATGCTTAAACCCTGATTTGGGGATACCCTGTCTATGGAGGAGTACGTAAGCCTTCCATGTCCCTTTAATCTTTGGCCTCTGAAATTGCCAAAAGGGCTGCCTATTTAGATTCACTTGCTCCTTGAGGAATTAGAGCTAGATCATCAAATAGTTTAACTTAAGCATCCACTGTTATATCTGTTGGTCACTATCCAACTTTGCTAGCTTTGAACTATTGACCTAAAGGTTAAAGGCTCTATTAATCCCTTACTAAGTCTCTCGTAGATTCAAACTGCCATCCACCTCTTGTTCAATTGTCAAGGTATGGCCGAGAACTCTATCTTGGTCAATATTAAAATCAAGAAAATATTTTATAAATGTTCATCATGATAGCTGCATTACACAGTAAGTTCTAAAGTAAGCTTTAAATCTAACTCATATAAACGATGCCTGAATATTCTAATAAAGCATTCACAAGTATAACTTTTCTTTTAAAAGTGAATGCTGTGTAAACATATTTATAAAGGTAATTGACTTGTTAAAGAAATCACACGTGGCAGGATATGCAACCATTATTTGGAAATATACATATTTCACAGGTATACAAGAAGGCATAAGGCCAAAAGCCCAAATGATCCAGGATCCCAAGTAACAATGCTTCACAAAATCCACAGGAAGTGTTCAGAAGAGAGTAACCATAATAGTAAAAGAGGTGGAATATAAGCCTAACGTTTTAGGAAAAGTTAATAGAACTGGACATGTTGAACTTAAGGAAAGAATGAAGGAGGGAGACAGCTGTCCACTATATAAAAAAAGGAGTTTAATAAATTTTTGGATCAATCACTCACACATGTCAAATTCAAAATAATAATAATCTCAAATACATCAAGATGATATAGGTTAATTATGGAAAACGTATCATTATTACAGCCATGCGGATGGCAAAAGATGGCAAGAGAGGTTGTGGAATCTTCAGCATTTGGATACATTCAATGCTAAAGTAGATACATATCTATCAATTATGGTCAGGAATAATGAAAGACTACACATATTATGCTATAAACCATGATGCTCGCTGATATTTTAACAGCACAGTACCAAATGAAAGCTCTCTAGCAAGCTTTATATTGGTGGTAGCTACCGTGAAGCCCTGAAAACTTCACTCTGCTCCCTGGATAGTGGGGGTGAGGGAACAGATTTCCCCATTAGAATCTATTCCTTTGCCCACAGGCAAAGCACACATGGATGGGAACTAGCTTCCAGAATCTCATGTACGGTTTTAAACATGACCTAAAATAGAGAAAAAATTGAGCTAGTGCCCCTTTTTGCTTGAATGTGAGCGATGGCAGCCAAAAATATTTATTTGCCCTCTCCTGTTTTTTACATTAGAGATTCAAGTCCACCCTGGAATGCAATGGATGACTAGTGAACTAGCGGATTTTTCATCATCATAGAAGACCAAAAGCCAAGCAATTAAGAGGGGAAGCTATTTGGAGTCAGACTTGTTAACAAAAGCAGAATTTTTAAAATCTATTTAAATCCAAACCTTAATACACATAAAAAAGAAAAGATGTTTGTGTTCGCAACTCAACATCCCTGCAACTAAGGGATGAGCATTCACAAGTCACATCTCGGACCCCAACAATCTAGCAAAAATAGGGAATCCGATTTCGCATCCTTCAACTTAAAAAAGGAGGAAAAAATGCTGAGACAAGCTTTCAGTTTGCCTGTTTGCATCATAAAATAGTAGAACTGGGCACAAACAATTAAAAAAATTATTTGCAGTTCACCTTTAAAGGCCTATGCTTACACCCATCCCCTCCTTAATGGCTTTCTAGCATAGACGTGAGGGTGACTGTATATGGGTTTTTAAATAAATATAAAAGAAACAAAAAGAAAAGAAACTGGCTTCAGCATGAACTGAACTCACAGTCGTAGGTCCTCACTGAAGTATTCTAGACTTTCATGTCACAGCACCACCTGCTATATCTCCTCTCTATAGTATCACATACAGAGAGATGGAAAGAGGGACAGCCAATGAACAGGTACCGAGATCTCTGCGAGGAGTGGGAGACGTTATTGGGAGAATTTACTGTGCTGATTTGCATAAGGTAATCCCACCTGGAGACGTGTAGGTGGATGGCTAGACAACTTTACACTTAATCGTTAATGACCTATGGGTTTTATTTCTTATGTACATACAGAGTTTTTAAAAAGTCAATTCCCTTTAAAAATCATACACATTTTCTCATTCTCATTTTAATTGTTTTCACAATAATCCCAAGGATGGAACGTGTAAGTTATGTCATTGTCCTTCATACTACTCAGGAGAAAGAAATAATAGAAGAGGTATGTTGATCATAATTCCTATTTAAATTTATTTATTTTTAGTTTTTATTTTATTTGTTTTATTTATTTTTGCCATTTAGTTCTTTTTTCTTTAATGGAAATTCTAAGATCAAGGATTATTTGGATCTAGGAAGCCAAATAATGCCAATAATCAGCTCCAATATATTAAGTCATTGTAATATGCAGGCATTGGTTAGAATATTTATTAACCAATCATATTGCACTCTCAATCCTCATCATTTTGGTCTCTATTCTACATTCCTTGCACAACCAAAACTCCAAGTGAAGTCAATGAGAATTTTGGAATGTGCCCAAATGCAGGATTTGATCCTTTTAAGTACAGTTAAAAAATGTGAGATATTGTGCAACTCAGAATTACACTTGGACTCAAAGTTTAGAGAGGATTATAATTACAATAACCCAATACATAGTTGCAGTATAAAACTAATTACTAGTTTGAACTTTTGAGATAGGTTTTAAAAGTTATTTTGTTTTCAAAAATACTCTGCATTACACTGTAATTAGATAACAGTTTATCTTTCTACATTAAACTAAAGTTGAAACAGCTTATCTAGAACATAAAATCAACTCAAGGGTACAAAAGTTGACTGGAAATAGTGTTTGTTCCTGATTTTCTCTCAATCTGTTTACCAAATATATGTATTGCAGGGTTAATAAAATGCATGCTGTATTTCAAATGCATGCACTAATGAGGAGGATGCAGTATGTTAAAAGTTGCATAACCTTTGTTTATCTTAGTTGCATTCATCTCTACACTTACCCCAAACTCCTCCACCTCTTCTTCCTGTAAGCAAGAGCCATATACATTGAAGCATATATTTGAACAGAAAAGCACAGGAAAAATATCACAGTTGACAGTCAGGAAGAAAAAGATGTAGACAGGAAAGTATAGAAAAGAAAAAATGCTATCAGGCAAACATTCTTCTCAAAGAATAACATACGGTTTTAACGGAATGTGGGGGGGGAGAACGCCATACAATATTTTAATGAATATAGAAGAACATATTGCATGTTTTTATGTTTAACCTACAAATTTAAAGCCAAACTCCAGTTAACTTGTGGGAAATATTTAACATGAAAAATCAATTTTAGATGTTGCATCATCAAATTCAAACAGCTTACCTGTTATTATTTACTTTTGAGAGACAGAATGAAACCTTTATATCTTTTAGAAAAATTCACATTGTGGGAAGTATTATGAGATTAATGGCATTTAATGCATTAGGATTGTAATTATAAGAAACATACTAAGAAATGGGATCATTATAAATTTGTGTGTTTTTCATTTTGATTACTTGTGGAAAAATATGTTATTTGACAAATATAGTCTAAAGAATTAGAAGCTTTGTTCTAATTAGTAATGAACTTGTCAAAGTATTTGCGTGAGCACTAAAATTTTTTTGTTCATTTGTCTTTTTAATCAAAAACTTTTTATTGGAGTTTTTAATAACAGAGGAAACTGATTGACTATACAGGAGAAACAATGAAACTGACTATAAATGAAATGAAAAAAAGACTTTTCCCCTTCTAATCACAGGTGCTACTTACAACAATAGTAGACAAAGCATTTTATGAGCGCATTGTGTTTGATGTGCCCCTTAAGATGCATATTGGAAGTTTAAAAGGCATATAACAGGTGAACTATTTATTTGATATTCAATCAATGTAACAATTAGACTTCATTGTCTCCTGTGAAGCATTTAAAGTATAGACAGATTTTTAGACAGAACTGATCTGTAAATATATGATTTACCTATATAACTATAATGGTTTCTGATGAGCCACTGTAATCATCAAATGAATATTTTACAGATTTCATTTTAAATGTAGACTTTTTGCTTGTATAATCTATACTGCTATGAAAGCAAGATCCTTCTCTGAAAAGTGACTATGCTAAAACAACATTGTGGTATGCCACATTTGTAGCTCAATAATTACATACCAAATTTGCTCACATTACAAGTAAAATGGTGCTTTTTCTAACTGCCAACCCTGAAAAATCACCATGTGAACTGAATACCAAGTTAGGTTCCTTCTGGCTAAGGCCTGGTCTGCACTGTCACTTTACAGCGCTACAGCTTTCTTGCTCAGGGGTGTGAAAAAACACCCCCCTGAACGCTGCAAGTTTCAGCGCTGTAAAGTAGTAGTATAGACACCGCTGGCAGCCGGGCTCCCACCGCTGGCAGCTACTCCCCTGGTGGAGGATGGTGGTTTACAGCGCTAGGAGAGCTCTCTCCCAGCGTTGGTGCTACAACTACACAGCTACGTTAAAGTGCTGCCGCAGCAGCGCTTTAACGTTGCTAGTGAAGATATACCCTTAACTAACATTCTTACTGATTCAGTATGGGGCATCACCCTGACTCAGCTGCTGCCAAGGCCACCACACTAAAGTCCTACACTTGGGCTGCGCAAGGGGACCTTGGGTGAAGCGGGTGGGGGGTAGGGGACCTCTGTACTGTTCGACCAGATGCAATATGGCGGGCCCACAGAACGTATATTTACATGGATCTCGAGGCTCTAACATCCTGCACACCTGACATGGAAAAGCTGCTGCTTCTTTTCCAGCCAATGGACTACAAGTAGCCTCATGTCTTGTCCCAGATTGGAGATGGTGGTGGTTCTACCCTGCACTCCATCTGCATACAGCCTGATTATACTCAGGCTGTATGCAGGTGTAGTGATTTTTTTCTGTGATGCATAATAAAATAAATAATGTTTGTACTAACATACCCTAAAGTGCTAGCCAGATTATGAAAAATAAACAGGAATATTTCCATTTTAAAACTATGGTAAAATATATTCCTTAATCTTACAAACCCCCTTTGTTACAGATTTCACTCTAATGATAAATGTTAATGATAATGAAATCATAATGGAACATAAACACCTGGTCATGCACACAAACCCACACTCTACCCACTGTATAAGAGTTATCTTTAATTCTACTTCCTTGTTTAATTGCACACCTTTGTCTGAACATTACAGCTGGATCCATGTTAGCAGAGGTCATTCTGACGACTTGTCGAATTTCTTTGGCAATCATTCTAAGTTTCTCAAAATTTACCAGGCCATCCACTTTTGAATCATTTCCTGTGCAATGAAATATATAGAACAAATATAAGCAATATGCAGTACTTTTCTAAGGCTGACATGTTATTTGTCTCCCATAATATCACCCTTCAGCAGATGTCAAAAGCCTTTAATTCAAGTATCAGTCAAAACCAGGAAGTAGTATAGTGGCAGAATACAGATGCCAGACAGGCCCACTCAAAGTAGATAGGAATGCTTGCTCTGCCCTTGTTAATCTAACTCTAAAGTGGCAGCTGTCAGTAGGGGGAAAATGGAATAATTTGACTATGCACAGATTTATTTTCATATGTTAAAATGGTGCAAATATGAAACTGACAACATTTCCCCTTTTAAATTAGTTCAAACAATTCTGAGACAACAGATCTGAAAACTTGGCATATTTAGAACTCTTTAACCTTTACTAATGAAGAATGGAAAACTGTTAAAAAGGGAAATATTTTAAATAAAGAGAAATATTTTAAAGCAAAAGTAACCCTTTGCAAGCCACTACATGAAACTAACTCTGCAAATACTGTAATGATGAGTTTTTATGACAGAAACATATCTGAAGTGTTCCGAACATTGTTTACTACAGTCAAAAGCTCTTCTATCATAATCTTGGAGGTACTTAATGAAGATTAAGTGCAGTTTTTAAAATATTTACTATCTCCACTGAATTTTTAATTTTTGTCTAGGATCTGCCTCTGCTATTATGCATTCTTCATTATATTTCATTTTAATCAAGAGGAAACTACATCTTGCATTATATTACTTATTATTTTTAGTCGTATAATTTGGAACACTGGACACAAAAGAAGAAAGGATTAAAATGTTATTCTATGTTTTGATTTATTACTTCTCTACATAGGGAGTTACCTTCATGTAGAAATGTAATATCCTTCTTGACAACAGGAAACAGTGGAATAATTGGAGGCTGCATGCTCTGACTGCTAAGAATGTTGCGGTACTTTGCCATGTTTCTAGATGGATCAAAAAGATCTTGAAGGTCTCTAAGATGCTTTTCATACTTGCTTGGTAGCTTTTCCCAGGTACCTCTGAGTCGTGCTACTGGTGCCAGATTTAGCCCACTGTAAAAGATATTTTTTTCCATTATCAGCTGTTAAATGGGGACTATTGCATTTAATAAGGTGGTGAAGGCTTCTTCTTCTTCTTTTTTTTTTTTTAAAGGGAAAATGGATTTTTAAAAGGCTAACTTTAAATCTGGGTATTTGCCACACTGCAGCCAAATAAGTTACCAATAAGCCACTGCTGGGCACTCTCCTGAACACTGAAAATGGGACATGAAGAGTAGGACAACACTTTCATAGTCATAGTACACCAATTAAAAAATATAGTTCCAAGACAAATCTATTACCTGTGTTCAGCTAAGTTAACAACCATTTTTTTGACAGTGAGATTCTATACCAAAGAAAAGATATCAAGGGTGAAAAGTTAATGAAGTGATTAGGAGGTACAGTTACAGTAAGAAGGCAAGAGGAGTGAGCAGAACATTCATTACAAACACAAGCAGAGAGAATCTTAGGAGGAACAGTTTGGGAACCTTTATAATGGGCAGTGTTGATCTGCAAATTAGTGAAAGAGGCAGACATTTCAAAAAATTTGTTACATCTGACTCTTTTTAAGCATTGAAAAATGCACCAAACATTACAGACAGGTGCACATTTTATAAATCAAATTAAAAATCTCCATCCACTAAATTAAAAGTTGCATAAGAATCCTACAGTCATTAGATTAATGAATTTGTTCATCAGTACTATGGATCCTTATAGAGTTTCAGAACAGCAAGATGCATTCTATTCTGCATCATGCATCAGCAAAATTATTCCGTGAATTCTGATTCTCCAGAATCTTTATTATAGATGGGTTAAGAAGCAGAACACACACAGCTTGATATTCAGATTGCCAGTAGTGCAAATGCAACCAGCTGTTAGAAAAATCTTGCTTTGATATGTACACTGAACAAAAGAAGAAAGGAAAAATAGGTCAGTTACACTAAGTAGAAGGACTTTTAAAAAATTATAGCTACTAAAAAAAAAGATAGCTTGTCCATCATCCTCTCTCACACACCTGCTTTCTATGGGAAGTTTCTTTCAGTAGATATTAGATTTGGGTTCCAATTGTGCATTCTGTCCATATTATTAGCTGGGTAGGTAGGTCAGTTAAATCCAGCTGCACCCCTTATTTTTCTACTCAGTCACAACTGGCTTGCTCATGTTTGCAACCCAAAACAAGACCTAGGATTTTAACATTTACACTGCATAGATTAGCAATACAGAACAGTCAATATTAGATTATGTTGCACTTAAATCACTAAACTAAGATTTGCTGTTATTGATCAGGACACTGCTCTACGAAACCAAAACAATTGTCCTTTCTGAAAGGCAGCAAATAAATAAGCCTCTTTTTAATATGACATGATAGGGATTAGATATCATTTTGTTTTATTACATTTTGTCTATGCTACCACAGAAAGTAAGAAATGAAGATAAACTTCCTCGTCAGCAGAAAATTAATGTCTCATTTTCTTTTGAAATATAACAACTAAAATTTGGAAGAGTTTTTTTCCCCTCTGATAAAATCATCACTGTGCTTATCCACTATTGTTAGGGGCAGATTAGGGGACTTAAGTACTGCCCTACACTGGGGGAGGGGATAGAGTTGCTTACAGGGCAGCCACAAGGAAGCTTTGGAACTGAAAGAGACAATTTCTTCTTGAGGGGAATGCAAAGAGGAAATGCACCTGCTATGCTCCCTTAGGAGGGTGCATCATGAGCTCCCTGGTGTAACCAGCCAGATACAGTGGCTGTTGGTGTGCAGGGTTGGTCATGGTCCTTTCCTCCTGTTGCCTCTTTAGGGGGAGTTGTGCCTCAAAGAGACCAAGGATAGCAATCACAACTGGCCTTACTCAAGGGACAAACTGGGAGAAAGGCTCCTTGCAGTCTGACTCCCCTTTCCTTGTGTGTGCTCATTCAATCCCAGCTACAACCTGGCCTTTAATATGTTATCAGGACATTTTCCAGCCCCACAAAAAACTAATGACCATGACATGTGAAAATCAGTTCAACTGATTTTTTTTGTTTGTCAGATAATTTGGCAGCCCTGCAGAGAAGATAACATCCACAAAATGCCTACTTCTTAGCATGATTACCACATTAAATACTTCGAATGTGAATATAATATTTTCAATTTGAGAGGTTAAACATCACAGATAATAATTTTCCAACTGCAATAAGGTTTTCCATGATAAAACTTTTTTAAACCTTCCATTATAATGCAGAGGTCAAATAATAAAGTCAATGAAGCAATTTAATCCTCTAAATGCTGTATTTTTCCCCAGGAATTTACATTTAGGAAAACTAGTAGGTGTTTCTTTTGCCGTTAACCCTAACTTGGCAGTACAGAGTGTGATTAGCAGGTAATAGTATTTCATCTCTGGCCTACTAATTTTGAAGCGTACTTGATATTTTGTATTAGCTCAATCCCTACAGGATTTTTATGACACTCATATGCTTCCAGTGCTGGATAAGAAGGGAAAAGAATATCATTTAACGTGCTCCTTCTTGTAGAAGGCATTTGGATTCACAGATTATTAATGAAAAGGCTTCGAAGTAATACTTCAGCATTTGATGTTATATACAGGTGAAATCAGAATTCCTTTCAATCAATATACATTGAGGTATCTGCAGTAATAATGTAATAATAATAGTGCACAAATAAGTTGATTAATATCCAGTATATTTTAGTACACTTTATTTAAAGCAGGGTTGTACTGGTGCTTGACGACTCTTATTAAAAAATAATTGGCCCTAAGACAAAGTACATATTTCTAGTGGCATTTTACTGTATTATTAATTTTCTTAAAACAGAATCAGTATCTATATAGATACAGATTGAAAGAGTAAAAACAAATCTAACAAAATATATCAATTTAAATTTACAGTCAGATTAAAGTGTCATGATTATGAAGCCTAATCTTGCATCAACCCTCAGACTAGTCTAATCTGCTGGTTTAATGCCACTCACTTGTAGAGAAGGTATTTTTAACGTAACATGGACATTATTATTAGTCTTTCGTAGTACCCACAAATATTAAACACGGAAAGACATTCTTGATCCAAAAAGGTTAAACTCCCACAGTGAAAATATTCTATGCAGATCAGTACAGAGATAAGTAGAAAACACTTGTCATTTTGCAATACATTCAAAAATATAATATAGGAAATGATTTAAGCAGGAAAATAAGGCACAAATGAAGTTACTTTAAAACATTTGTACCATTCTGGTCATACTATAAGGAGATTACAGAAAATATACAAGCAAGAATACCACATGATACAGGGATTTACGGGTCTTAGTTTACAAGGTTACAGAAACTCAATCTATATCCTTTAGAAAAAAGCAGCTTAAAATGATGAATATATTGAACACACACCAAAAAAGCAGATAAGGAAGGACCCTCACTGAGTCCTACAAACTCCTGAAGGCACCAGAATGGTTTCATGCTGCCTCTTAGGATTTATAACATACACAAGATAAGGGAAGAAAAGCTTGAGCAGGGATGGTGTCCTGTGCTAAAGCAATTTTTGAGAGGATTTAGTTTTTATAGGAGTATTTATTATAGAGAACTAGTAAGGGCAACGTTGTGAGCCACTATTGGAATGGTTTGAAGTAGCAAGATATATTTGACTATATGGACCTTAGGAAATGCATGACAATTTTAGTTTCAATAAAGCCCATCAGCACAACATTTACGGAATGCCATGCAAACAATTTCTGCAATTACTGTATCAGCAACCTTAAACAGCTCATACATCTCTGTATGAAAGGATGAATTAACATTTTATTGGAAAAAAGTAACTACTTTATAAAATCACCCACAATAAGATTTTTAAAAAAAAAACTCTCCAGAATAAAATGATTTGTAAACTCAAGTCTAAGATTACCGCTCTATATATCAAAGATAAAAGGAAGTGCATTTTAATATCATGCAGTTATGTAATTCACCATTGCCATGATTAGTGGAATAAAAAATGTGTTAGAAATTTTGTTTAACCCAAGTACACAGTTGTATAAATATCATATTCAAAAAGCATCAAAACTGGTTAATTTTAATCTAAATACAAAATCGGCACAATTTTCCCCTAATCCTATTGCCAAATCATTTGCATATCAGATAAATCATGGTCTTCTTATAAACAAAAGCTACCAGTCATAACAATGTGCCCTCCAAACAGACACATGCAGAAATAACTATGCTAAGAGAAGGAAGGCATCATCCAGACACAGCATGCCAAACTGCAAATGGGTTACTTGTGGCACAGCCAAAAAAAGGCATGTTCCCTTAGAAATAAGGGTAAAAACACAAAGGCTGATTTCTCAAACAAGACTTCAGTTCTAGAGGGCCTGATGAAGACAAAATATAGTCAGGGAGAATAGCTCCTACCCATGAGAAACTAGGCATTAGGAAATGGCGATGAGGGTGTCTATTTCTGCATATCTACATGCACAGTACAGATCTCTTCAGGATTAGCTTCACAAATGGATAGCCCCGAATAAAACAGAATCACACATGTTCTGTAAATCAGGCTAAGGGAATTAAAGGGTGGAAAAAACTTCAAATATCATAATTCTCAGAAATAGTATTAGTGTTGATTGGCTGAAAAATTAGTCCAGATAGACCTATTGTGAAGAACTGTCTTTTTGACAGATGATGGGGTCTAAGCAATTGAGAACAGGACATTTGTTTGGCTCAGACTATTCAAGTCAATGAAGTTGCATATGGTATAAATCAGAATTAGACCCAAAATGCAAAGAAAGAACCCAAATATATTAAGTAGAGAGAACAGAAAAGGTGCTGAGTGACTGGTTAGAGAATGGAGGAAAATTTAAACTAGCAGACCAAGATGAGACAGATTGGAGCACGGGTGGGGGAAGAGTCTACAAGAGTGGGGGGGGGGGGAAATTATGTAACCGCCTTATCTCTGGTTTCTTTCAAATACACAGGGAGAAAGTAATGATGAGTGAGAAAAGGGGGGAAAGGAAGTATGCTCAAAAGCCCAAAGTACTCAGGAATCAGAGAAGCAGAGCAACCAATGAAAACAGCAGCAATATTCAGCAGGTTTCTAAACCAAGAACACAACTCGTCCAAACACTCTCTCTCCTTTACTTATCCTCATGGACAGCTAAGAATACACAGGTAACAGTTAAGGAGCAATGACAAATACCACAGTACAAACACTTAAAAAAAACTGAGGGCAAGGGAGGGGGGGAAATGTAGTGAATTTATACCTTTTTGTATAGACTGGTATGCTGTGCAACCTGAAAATTTGTTTTAAAATATACTGTACCCCCACAAGTTGTTGTCAGACTAAATATTCTCTTTTCTTCCCTACAATGGAAGTTATTAAAATTGCATTTGATGCCACAATCATATTCAGCTCTAATTTAATATGAGTAAAAAATATAAAATTCAGATGATCAATATCTGCCAAAATAATAGTACTTTACCTTATAACGGCAAACATGGAATTGAAGTTCTTGCATTCTCGACAGTGTAGGGCAATTTTAATGAAATGCTTAACAATCTTCATTCTTTTGAGCTGGTTGGGCTCTGTTAAAATTTCTGTGGCAACCCAGAATGTCTCTTGGTTAATGACATCCTCAAACTGTTTCAGGTGAGCATTTCCTGTTTTGGAGTCCATCTTATAGAGGTCATCGATGTATTCGGTAGGCTCAATATTGCGAAATAATTCGAAGTCCCTCATTGATAGCTGAGTAGCCACCTCAATAGTGCTCAGTTGAAGAAGAGAAATCTGACTCTCTCTAAGCAGCTCCTGGGCATCCTCATCTGAGCATAATGTCTCTGTTTCCATATTGTTTTTCAGATAATACCTAAAGGTAAATTGTATTATAATAATAAACTTTAGAGCAGCTTTCCTCTGACATTCTGAAAGTACTTTACATACAATTAAATTTAACATCACCCCTTGATGCCTCAGCATTATCCCCACTTGACAGATGTACCAACTGGCGAGGTTAACTGTAATGGACACGCCTAGCACCTAACAGTGAGAGGCAATTTGGGAATGGAACTCAGGTGAGTTCCAACTCTCAGCTTCTTACTCTACCCACTGCACAACGCTGTCATTACTAAAGTGAAAAAGTTTAATATGCTATGAGGCCATTATAATATTTTCTTCCTCTTCATTAATCACTAGTTTCTATATACTAGCCTGCAATAGTGTAGATAATAGCCTTGCCCTTCAGTAAAAGGTCAGTAGCTTGTCTGTTTGCAAATGCAGCAGTAAATTAACATTTTGAATGGCCCTGGATCCTGAGAAATATTTGAAATCTTGATGTAAATGTATTTTCCCATTTTTGATGGAAAAATTAGCATAATATATTAACATGTACATGAAGCACACAGTACTCAGGAAATGAAAAGGCATGTAAGAAAATCACTTTCATGGTCCAAAGGAGATCACTTACAGATATAGAAATGACTCTCCTTCATAAATTCTCTATTGCCTTGTAAGGAGAATTGAACAGAATTTTCTACTTTCTAACATATCTTCTGGCCTGGATCAGATCATCAGGCAATGTGCTAAAGCCCTTAATGTTTGTGAGACAACTCACAATGATTTGCATAAAAGCTGAGGCACGTATCTTAAGTTAATATCAACTAGCTGTAATATTACATTTTAGGAAAGGAAAGTTAGCGTATCTTTTGATTAGAAGGTAAATATGGTAAACATCACAAGAGTATATATATTATTCCTTTTTAATGTAAACCATTGTATATCTTGCACTGACCTTCTGAATTAAGTTATCTAGTGACTGAACTTATTTCAAACTTTTTTAAACACTAAAGTTTATCCGCCATGTATTACTCAGATATTATACTTTTCTAATATTCAGATATCCAACTACCACTTGTCATGAACCTCTCCTCCTTTAGAGTGATGGATAACACCATACCAGTGACTAAAAATATCTGTAGGGGAACTCACATTCCTACATCCAAGGTGAAAGTGTTTTTTATGACCATCACTTAAACTCAGTTTGAGAGCTCTGAAAAAGTTGCAGTGGCCAGGAAAGCTTTCTTGCAAACTCCTGAGACACTAGACAAGAGAGTTCTGAGAGCTATTGGCATTTATGGAGGAAAAACCTTAGCCCTCACCTCCCAGCAAAACATACTTGGCAGCTGTAGGAAGCCTTCCTTCTAGTGCTGATTAATGGCACTGGAATTCAGTGTAAGTATACAATTTTACAGATGGACAGCATCAGAGATCATAAGTACCAGAATGCGAGGAATAAGTTCTCATCAACTTCAGGTGGAAATGATCTCCCTTCCCCACTCCAAGAAAGCCTGAGATTATAATTACATGCTGAGTGGATGCATAAAATATTTTTTTCTGCCATAAAAGCAGGAAGAGAGCAGACATGTCAAATAAGCACAGCAAGCAGAAACACTATAATTACAGTTTAAAATAATTCAGCTTATTTGCACATAGCCTAGGGCAACAATTCTGTTAGAATATTTGTGTACACTGAAATAAATGCTTACATCTTTAGCAATTCTCAGTAATATAAGAGACAATTCTAGACTTTCTTCTCCAGTTTTAATAGGGACACTGTTCTCTGATATTTCTTTCAAAATGCTGCACTTTTAAAGACAAAGTCAAACAAAACAAAACAAGTACAATTTTACCTTCCATTGAGCTGGATTCTGTCTGCTAATTTGGAGAACTGATCTGGAAGCCTTCTCTGTTTGATGACTCCCTCAGGACTAACAGACACCTCACAGAGAGAGTAGGTTTCTGGGGCTCCTATCAAGTTGAATTCGTGCACTGCATGACTCACAACTTCTTTTGCAGTAGTGTCTTTGCTTATTATAATGTAACAGCTTTGTTGATCTGCTTTGAAAACTCTTATAACTTGATCTGGAATATCTAAATTTAAAGAAAAACACCTTTAAAATGCAAAACTGCTACTTCCCTTGAAAGGATAAAAAAGTATTCATCTGTCAGATGGGGTGGGAAATACCTAGGTCTAGATAAAAAGTAAATTCTCAATATTTGTTCTCTTTTTTCTAAAAATCCATCCTGTTTTTTCCATAATTAAGAAAAGTTAATTACTTTCACAGGATGCAGTGTTGTTGTAGCTGTGTCAGTACCAGGATACTAGCGAAACAAGATGGGTGAGATAATGTCTTTTATTGAACCAACTTCTGATGGTAAGACAGACAAGCTTTTGAGCAACACAGAGCTCTTCCTCAGGTCTGGGAAAGTTACGCAGAATGTCGCTAGTAAATACAAGGTCGAATAAATAGTTTAGCATGAATAGATAGCACATATTCTAAGGGCCCGTTCAAGATGAAGTCCCTTTTTCAAGGGGAAAAGAATAGTAATTTGTGATCTGCTGCCAGCAGCCTTTCCCAGTTGGAAGAAAAAGTAGCCCCGCAGCAGCTGTAGCTGAGTTGAAGAGGGGACGAAACAAGGTATTAAGAAAATGCGGGCCTAAATAATGTGGTGAACGAAAACTGTGATTCTACCAACTTTTTCACTATTTGTATAATAAAAGCCGCCTCAGTCATATTGATGAATGGTGGACCACTAAAATTTAGATCTCCCATATGGGTGGGGGGAGGGTACTCAGAAAGAACTGTTCGAGTAAAACAGTAAAAAGTAAAAATAATTTTTATGTAAGTATTAATTTGAAGGGGAAAAGCTGAGAACGAACAGGGTAAATATTTTATTATGAAAAAGTGTGTACATTGATAAGAAGAATCAGAAACCAACAAAGGGCCATCTATCGATAACCCTCAAAGGAGTAATGAAACCTTACAAAACAATCTGTCTGTACTGAATAAACAAGCATTATAATGTCTGATTCTTACGAACAGTATTTGATGTAAAAATACCTATAAATTCAATGTTTAAAGCAAACAATTTTGATGCAATTTTGAAAATTTACCAAGAATCTTATCTTGATATAACTGTTAAAATCTACAAAATACATGGGTTAGAACCTATAAATAGGAATGCACATTTTAAAAAAATGTATTACTTTATTTTACGAGTCACAAAGAGAGACATACTGATACCAACCACTTTGGTTTGGGTTCTGTTGCTGGTTTTTCTGTTTGTTTTTGTTTAAACGTAAACAGTATTTTTAAAAATCTATTTTCCCATTCATGATTCAATTTGTAGGAAAAAAACAAACAGTGGGCATTCAAGTTGGCAAGCAAAAAGTTTTATTACAAAAAAATCAAACATACCACCACCAGATAGCCCTTATATAGCACTTTTCATCAGTAGATCTTCAAGTGCTTTACAGGAGGTCAGTAGCATTATCCCCATTTTACAGATGAGGAAACTGAGGCACAGCGTGGGTAAGTGACTTGCCCAAGGTCACCCAATAGGCTAGTAAAATAGAATCCATGTCTCCTTAGTCTCAGTTCAGTGCTTTACCCACTAAGCCACACCACCTCCCCCACAAAATAAATAGTTGGTTTAGTTAAAAATGGGTTATAGGGCATGCAAATGTCCAATAAGCAACAACAATAATTCTAATAATAAAGTTTATGAGGCAAATAAAAAATTGTAAACAAATATTTGTTCATTTCAACATACAAGACATGCAATACAAAGAAGATTAGACTGCCAGAACTCAGGATACTTACAGTAAAAACCAACAGCTGCAGGCAGCAAAAACAAAAATAAATCCATTTATGTAAACATAAGATCTACAGATTACAAGAATAATCAATAGTCAAATGAATGTAATATGCTGATCTGCCAAAAAGCTATTTTATACTTCCTTACATTCAAAAATGACTTTGCACATGCATACTATTAAACTGAATACTGGTTAAGAAAGATTAACTGGCCATAGCTAATGACTATGGAAAATCCTACACCAACATTAAATCAAGGTTTTTAGAAAAGTGTGTTTTTTACATATAGAAAAACAATGAATTTGCAGCAAGAAGGGAAGTGATTTGTCATGGATATTTATGTATAAGATGTATATGTACATCTATTTTACAAGAGAAGTTATGAAGATAAAGTTAAGTTACATTTATAAAATCTTAGCCAAAAGGTAGGTAATGAATGTATAATTACGCTTAGAATTTACATATAGAATAAGGAAACACATGATTCTGGCTTGACATGTTTACCGGCAGCTGCATATGATCAACATTTGCCTCCCGCAGCCACTCCATTCCTATAGCAGCAGCAACAGAGGGGCATAGGTAATAAAACTAAAAAGTTTTATTTTTGTTTTTCAAAAATATATTTGAATGAATGAAATGCTCATCAAGGTGTGGGACCAATAGCACTAGCTCGGGTACCATACAGGTCCTACCCTTACCCGATATGCTTTCGGAGTGTTTTTTCATGGACTGCACATGAACAAAAGCTACAGTAGGCGGGGCACAGGCGTTGGGAGGAGATGGTAAAGAAGTAGTGAGGGAGCAGACAAGGCCAAGCCACTCTCACTAAAATAGTGGTAGAGCTTCTAAATGGAGGGCACTTGAGATGGCAGGTTCTGCTTTTGCTTAGAGAGAAGAGCGAGCTCTCAAGTTACGGCAAAGGAGACCTGGCATGAAGGTTTAAGAGGTGAGGCTCTTTTGGGGTTTTTTTGTTGTTTCTCTCCAGTTTGGGACCTAATAGGGCCATGGCATGAACAGGTGAGTACAGCTGACATGTTTAGTGCCAGCAGAAGGTATTGTTTCCCCCCAAATTGGTACATTTAGTAAGTTGCAAATAAAGCTTAAAAGTAAACTAACACTGTGGAGCCTTTATTCACTGTGGCAATGTCATTGTAAACACTATATAAATGTTAGGAACCAGTAAATAAAAATGTAGTTTTGTAAATTAGCTTTATATTAGGTTTTACTAAAATATGTAAACATTCAGAACCTCTGTGTATTGATTTGTAAATAGACCTTGCTACATCAACTAATATATTCTCAGACTGAGTGCTCCAGTGGGTTACAGAGTTCATTACACATACACAACATAGAGAGACGTATTATTTACCTGAAGGATTAGTAAAATCCAGCATGCTGGTTGTAGGCTGCAACAGATCAGGACTACTTGATGAGAGTGTTCCAGGGATAGGCATTATGGCCAAACTGTGTCTGCACTGCCTTGTTCCAACAATACTGTCATCCTGTGACTGGCTTACACTGCCATCACTGTAAAATAGTTTTAAAAATTACCTACATTTAGCCCAGGCAAAAGTAAAAATCATTTCTCCTTTGTAAGTGCAATGATGCAAAACAAGAACTTCTCTAAGTCATAGCTTCCTTAACAACAATCTGATGCACAACACAAGATCGAACAGATTAAAACACAGTACATTCCAGAAAAAAAAAAAATCCTTGTGATCTCAACACAGAATAAATCTGTCCTTTTGGTTTAATTTAACTCCATTTCTTAATTGATTACTTTTGAACATTACCAAAATATTCTGCATAAGAGTAAAAATATTAGGTTGTGACTTAGTGCAAAGAAATGTTTGGAGGTAAAAGCACTATAGCTCCAAAGCAGCTACAATGTAAAACACCTTATAAAATTACCCAATACAGAAGAACTTAAATATTGTATCTGACATACTAGCTTGGTGATATATAAAGAGAGACCAGGTGAATACACATTGTAGGCTAAGGCATTCATGCCCATTTACAGCATAACCAGTGGGATGGTGAAAGTGTTGCTCAGCACAGCATAAAACATTGGAGTAGAAATTTCCATATGGGTGGCCCTATGCACTTCATCTGAACAATGCAGCTGACTATGCCTTTACTAGTCATGGCCAAACGTTTTAATCTTTTTTATTATATAAATTAGGGCTGTCAAAAATATTAATCGTGATTAATCGCACTGTTAAACAATAATAGAATACTATTTATTTAAAAATTTTGGGGTGTTTTCTACATTTTCAAATATATTGATTTCAATTACAACACAGAATACAAAGTGTACAGTGCTCACTTCATGTTTATTTTTGATTACAAGTATTTGCACTGTATAAAAACATACGAAATAGTATTTTTCAATTAATCTAATACAAGTACCATTGTGCAACCTCTTAGCATGAAAGTTGAACTTACAAATGTAGAGTAATGTACAAAAAAAACTACATTTAAAAATAAAATAATCATAGAATCATAGAACTGTAGGGGACCTCGAGAGGTCCCCTGCACTCACAGCAGAACTAATTATCTAGACCATTCCTGACAGGTGTTTGTCTAACCTGCTCTTAAAAAGCTCCAATGATGGAGATTCCACAGCCTCCCTAGGCAATTTATTCCAGTGCTTAATCACCCTAATAGTTAGGAGGTTTTTCCTAATATCCAACCTAAACCTCCCTTACTGCAATTTAAGCTCATTGCTTCTTGTCCTCTCCTCAGAGGTTAAGAAAAACAATTTTTCTTCCTCCTCCTTATAACAACCTTTTACATACTTGAAAACTGTTATGTTCCCTCTCAGTCTTCTCTCTTCCAGACTAAACAAACCTAATTTTTTCAATCTTCCCTCATAGGTCATGTTTTCTAGACCTTTAATCATTTTTGTTGCTCTTCTCTGGACTCTCTACAATTTGTCCACATCTTTCCTGAAATGTGGCGCCCAGAACGGGACACAATACTCCAGTTGAGGCCTAATCAGAGCAGAGTAGAGCGGAAGAATTACTTCTCGTGTCTTGCTTACATCCCTGAATGATGTTTGCTTTTTTTGTAACAGCGTTACACTGTTGACTCATTTAGCTTGTGGTCCACTATGACCACCAGATCCCTTTCCGCAGCACTCCTTCCTAGGCAGTCATTTCCTATTTTGTATGTGTGCAACTTGTTGTTCCTTCCCAAATGGAGTACTTTGCATTTGTCCTTATTGAATTTCATCTTATTTATTTCAGACCATTTCTCCAGTTTGTCATGATCATTATCAATTTTAATCCTATCCTCCAAAGCACTTACAACCCCTCCCAGCTTGGTATCGTCCGCAAACTTTGTAAGTATAATCTGTATGCCATTATCTAAATCATTGATGAAGATATTAAACAGATCTGGACCCAGAACTGATCCCTGCGGAACCCCACTCGTTATGCCCTTCCAGCATGACTGTGAACCACTGATAACTACTCGCTGGGAATGGTTTTCCAACCAGTTTCGCACCCACCTTATAGTAGCTCCATCTAGGTTGCATTTCCCTAGTTTGTTTATAAGAAGGTCACACGAGAGAGTATCAAAAGCTTTACTAAAGTAAAGATATACCACATCTACATCTTCCGCCCCATCCACACGGCTTGTTACCCTGTCAGAGAAAGCTATCAGGTTGGTTTGACACAATTTGTTTTTGACAAATCCATGCTGACTGTTACTTATCACCTTAATGTAAAACTTTAGGACTGAGTGGACTTTCTAGGCTCTACTTCTTGTTCAGCCAATAGCTCAGACAAACAAGTTTGTTTACATTTTTAGGAGATAATGCTGCCCGCTTCTTGTTACAATGTCACCTGAAAGCGAGAACAGGCATTTGTATGGCACTGTTGTAGCCAGCATCGCAAAATATTTACGTGCCAGATGCGCTAAAGATTCATATGTCCCTTCATGCTTCAACCATCATTCCAGGGGACATGCGTCCATGCTGATGTTTTTGAGTGCAGTTATGTAACAAACAAACAAAATCTACATTTGTAAGTTGCACTTTCACAACAGATTGCACTACAGTACTTGTATGAGATGAATTGAAAAATACTATTTCTTTTGTTTTATCATTTTTACAGTGCAAAAATTTGTAATAAAATAGACACTGATTTCAATTACAACACAGAATATAATATATATGAAAATGTAGAAAAACATACAAAGTATTTAATAAATTTAAATTGGCATTCTATTTTTAATAGTGTGATTAAAACTGTGATTAATTTTTTTTAGTTAATCGTGTGAGTTAAAAATATGGTTGCCTAACTAAGATTATGCTGCGATCTCCAAAGGACCTCCGCTCTCTCTGCAACATGAAGCAAACTGCCTTTGTCTTCCTCCCATACAGGGGCACTGCCATTGAGGAACACATCTCTGAATCCAGCAGCTTTTCTAAGGGACCTGGATGCTACTGCTTTCACATTTCCTGTTCTCTGGTTCTTCCCCAGTCAGAAATGCTCCAGAGTATTACATGACAAAGTACACAAGAGCTGAATGAAGCAGCACCTGAGGTTTAGCAGAGAAACTGCTAGACCTGTTTAATCCTGCAAATTGGGCTCTCAATAGGTAAGTGGAAGATCCACAGGGAACCTGGGGCCTGTTACAAGATCATAAAAAGGGAAAGTTCTCATTTCCAAGAAGAGCAATTGCTGATATTTTTACCTGGTTTGCACACCCTGCTTCTCTTGATTCGTGTTGCAGCAACACAAATCAACTGGGGAAAAAGGTAAAGGAGAGGCCCAAGCACAAGAAGAACTATAAAGGGTGACTAGCATTAGGCAGAGTGGTGCATCAAGCTAGAAAGAGGTGCAGCTCTGAGAAAATTGCAGCCCAAAGCACAAACTGTAAGCATTTGGCCACTCATCAAAAAACAAAAAAAAAGAAAAAAAAAATCTAGCCACCAGGTCATGCTTCTATGTAGGAAGCAAGAACATAATTCACTTGTGGCAGAGAGTTAAAAGAATTTTAAAAGTCTTACCCATTATTAAATGGAATTTTAGCAGCACCTCTGCCAAAACAATCAACTAAGTTGATGGTTTTGTGTATATTTATTTGTAAAATACTTTTTCTTAAGTACGATTTCGGGGAAGTCAGGGAGGAGTTCTGCATTAAGATATAGGAAGAAGAAATCCCTTTGGTTTATTTAGCAGAACACACTTTGGTTACTTTAATTTCTCAAAGTTTCTATCCATACGAAACCAAAACTACCTCATCTCTCATTTTAATGTATCCACTGGAGCCTTTTTAATGTAATTATGGTATTTACATACATCTCACCTCTATTTATAGTACTGTATAAAATACATAACTACAATTTTATGCAGCATTGCTCATACAAAAGCATCATTAATGACAGCACATATTATTCTAGTCAATTCATAAAGGTAAATTAAAATATGCCAGAGGCAACATCTATAGATGTAATAGGACAGAGGTGAGGAGGGAAAATGGCCAAGTTTCAGGGAGAATGATTGAGCAAAAGAAGAGTGGGATAAATTATTATACAAAGAAGGTTAAGAGTCTCAGAACAAGGAAGAAAGATGGATCTTAAGATACGATTTGCATAGAGAGAGTACATCAGGTTCTGCTCCAGATGGTGAGGTTACAGTGACTGTTGTGGGGAGGGGGGGAAAGGAAGAGGAGAACCAAGGAAGCTTCAGAAACAGGCTAAGGATCAGAAAAAAATGGATTAGAGACTGGGGGAAAGGGTTTTGAAAACAAAGAAAGAATTTTGTGCTGATTTAGAAATGGAGAAGCCAGTGAAGATTTCTGAGAATGCAAGCAATCGTGCTGTGTTTCTGCTTTTGGGTAGACAGAGTAAATGAGATGAGTCACTTTTTGGACAAATTGAGGTCTGAAGGGTTGCAACTTTACGACACAAGGGAAAAGGAAGCACGAATTACAACAGTTTAGGTGAGAGGAAATGAACATAAGACTAAGCTTTTCTGCAGAGAAGTAGTGAGTGTAGGATCTGATGGAAATGTAAACAAATGATAGATTCGTGAAATGTGGGTGGCCAAAATCAAGTCAAAGTGTGGGGTGAATTAGAGGATGAAGGTGAAGAGGGAGAAGCAGATACTATGATTTGGGAGGCGGTGTTCTTAGCAATAACAGTTTTGATTTATTGAGCTGAAAGAATTTATGCCAAAGACTGGAACTGAAAAGGTTAAAGGGAGAAGATGTGAGAAAAGAAATGAAACACCAAAGGGAATATCAACTTGGGCATCAGTTTTACAAAGGTAAGTATAAAAACATACCACAAACTGTGAGCATTTTCAAGATACCTAATTTTTTAGTCCAAGTGGAGTACTCAAAATTCTGGTGCCAGTTTTTCTTTGCTGTATAGGGCCACCAGCTGAGAGGCATGGTAGACTTGCTTATAATCACATTATTGGATCACCAAAATGGGGTCAATGTAATTGTGCAGTAACCTGACAAAATTCTACAAATTCTTGAAGCATCCCACACATTGCCCAGGGGCAGGAATGGGGTGATCCAATACTTTTCAGCATATGGTACTATAAATCCCATGAGATGACATAAACTTAATGGTAAGACTTTTGAGTTTATAGCAGGAAAAGTACTGGAATTATATATACTATTCAACAGTACCAAAGAAACTGCACAGAAGTGAAAAAGCATCCATGCTTGTGAGGAAGCTGTATTGGTACACCCCACAACAACATATAATTAGGCAATTTCTTACCAAAACAATCCCCTGAGAAGGTGATGCAGTAACAGAAAGAAGACAATGTTGAAAACACAAGGAAAATACTGTAAACATTTCAACAATTCTATGATTCTACTGAGGAACATAAATAACAAGGTTTATACAGAAGAGAGAGAGAGAGAGAGAAGTGCAGAGAGAAAACCAGATGACAAAAACAAACAAAAAAACCAAAACAAAATCAAGCAGATGCAAAGACCTAATACACAAACAACACATGAAGATTCCACTTTGACAACTGATGTCTGAATATGAGTTAACATTGGGGAAAAAATGAACTATGACAGGGACGTTTCTTAGTCTTTAAAATGGAATCACACTTTGATCTCATGTTATATTAAAAGACTTCTGTCATTTTTATATATATTCTATGTACTTAAGGACTAAAAGAAGAGCATACTGATTTGTGGGGGGTGGGGGTGAAAATGGTCCAACTTGTTTATAATTAGGAGGAATAGGATGAAAGTGAGAACTAGAAAAATGTAGCTGACTATCAAGACAAGTGTCATAACAATAAGACCTATTAGTCTACTGAAATAGTTTCCCAAGGCAAATTGTTGATGTGCCAGTGCTTGAGTCAGTAACATAGGACACAAAGCACTAAAGAATAACAACAAAGGTGGAAAAGGAGTAAATGAGTTGACCAATTAGGTCTTTTCCATGTTTAACTTTTATGAAATAATGTTGTTCTACTTTTGTTAACATCAAATTTATTAAAATGCAAATCCAAACTCAATATTTTGTCTTATCCAGAATAATTCTTAGAACTTAAAACAATTAGTCTTTGAATATGTTGTAAATATATTCACAGTATAACAGGGTGTTGGTAGCTGGAAGGCTAGTAGTCATTAATGTATGATTTGAGTTGAGTTTTCTGAACTGTAAATCACAGAACAAATATTAAAGAAATATTGCACATTCAACTGCAGGTACTGAACCACGTGCATAAGGAAAAAAAATTCCTTATGTAAAACACTTTTCCAAATACAGTTACAAAAGGTGTTAAAATAAATGGGTTGTTATAGACAAAAGCACCTGAACAGATTTAACATATCCACTCATTTTAAACTGAAAGCTACTTAATTAATGCTTTCCAGTGCCTAGATTGCACAGGTAGTTCCTCATATTCATACTATAACACTTGGTGCTAAAGAGAATAATGACAATCAATCAGATATTTGAATTACATATTGTGGATAGGCATTCAAAATGATGTAAGAGCAAAGCAGGTTTGAAATTAGGCACAATAAAGGAAAGGGCATTTTCAAACCTATTTTGGTCTAATTCTACAGTTGCTAGTCATATTTGCTGCAGTTTTCTTATACCTATGTAAACAATAGTCACATAAACCTGAACATTCTAAGCCACTTAGAAAACAACAGCTTATTAGACAACGGTTACTCTTCTACCAGAACAGTCTAACCTACCTAAATAGTTTGGGAGGCAAGATGCTGAATCGTGTCTTGTCTAAAATTTTCCTGATTCTGTTTCTTCCACCAGATACAGTGTTTGCTTTGATTTTCTTGTTTCCTTTCTCGCATGGAAACATCTGTTCCATATCTCCGGGCATATCTGGGATGGAGTAGCGATTACTTTTCTTTTCTGCAATTTTTGGAATATGGGGGACTCCATTTTTCTCCTGTCCTATCCTGCTAAGCAGCTCTTTAAACACTGTAAAAGAAGATAAACATATTATAATTTCTTTTTACCTCCTGGAAAGCTTGTTCTTTTAATCCTTCTTCTTCCCATCCTCACCTACCACCATAAAAGAAATACTGAATAGTATAGTTGTTAACATGCACACTGACAATATGGTCAATTTAATATTCCTTTCCTCTTCCCACTGAAATCAAGTGGAGTTTCGCTATTGAATTCAATGGGAGAGAGAGTAGGCCCTAAATAACTAATGGAAAACAGACTGCAAAGAGAAAAATACTGCATTGGAGGGAATCTGCAACCACAAATTAAGAAATGAAGTAGAAGAAATTTCATCATTTTCACTTTTCTTATTAATAAACATTAAAACACATTTCATAAAACTTTGCTAACATCCACTACAGACAATTAGCTAGATAAAAGGGGAAACATTACATTTACATTAATCAACGTTTTTGTCTATATCTGTTAGGTAATGGGATGTAGATGTTTTCTTAAGAACAACCACAAGACTGACTGACACTTCTTTTATCTTCATTGATATTATCAAATATATTCCACATCCAATATTCTTTTACACTTATCAGATTTAACTGGTCAACTGGTAACAATGACATTTCCAGAAAACACCATTCCATGGGGAAAAAAGTTATACCTATTTTATTTGTGTTGCTGTTATATAACATAAAACCCTGCCCTTCAAAGCTGTACATGAATTCCTGCCAAGCAGTTTATTTTTTTTAGATCTTTGAGGTTGCTGACATCAGAGAAATATAGTGTTTTCAGTTGAACACATATGGCTGTGCTCACTGAAACAGAACTTACAGCTGCACAGTGCTGATTACTCGTGTTTTCCACCCAAACCAGGCAGGCAGCACATACTATGCACAAATACCAAATCAAATTGCATGCTTTTATTACATAGCAAAATTTAGGACCGTATACCTTTGTAGAAGAAATTCAGGTGTGAGCGTGGGGATTCACTGATATATTCTCTGATAACTCACTAGCACCATATTAGGCATTTAGCACTCTATTCAAAAATTAGAATAGCAAATACAGTCTTTGCAAAGGGCTTCAGCTGATGGATTTGTTAAAATACGTCAAGCAGCGGACAGAGTAAGCACCTTGAATATCTAGCAACAATAAAACGGGCTCATAATCCACGCATATACATTTATATGTACAGTGCTGTAATTCTGAACAGATAATCAGAGAGAGCTAGACCATCCTGAGTTTTTTTTCCACTGACTTGGTTGCAGCTATGTTTCATGTTCATATGAATATGTTAACTTTCAGCGGAAGGTTGTACAAGTTGGTGTACTGCTGCATGTCACCTTGAATTAGCATACGTTATTTGATGAAAGGGGTTTTTTAAAATTATTTTTGTCCTCATTTTGTTTGTAACAACAAGCTATAGTTAAGTTCATGCCACTTTTTGACCTCTATAGTGACGTAAAGAAAAAAAATTAAAAACAGAAAATCAATAGTGAATAGAGACAAGTAATTAGAAGCAGCAGATGAGACCCAGGAGAGGAAAAGACCACCAGCAACCTCAGATATAACATGAGTCAAAGAAAAGAAACCATGTATGTTTAGGGGGCATCTTGTTCTTACTGCAGTGGTATTTGTGTTGTTGGATGCAGACCATGTATGCCCTGGGTTATGGAAAACTAACAGATATTTTGACCGAGATTTAAAAAAGTTATTTGTTTATAAAAATTACAATTTAAAGCTAAAATCGATACTGCACATATACTTGATAGATTCCCTATTTTCTCTTTCAGATGTAACAGATGTTATGGCGCTCACACCCATTATTAAAAGTTTTTTTAAAAACCTGATTTTACATCTTTTGCTATTTCTTGTCAAAAGAGGTGACAGAGAGGATTTGTGAAGGAGTGACTTACTGGTTCATAAACTTTGCGTCAGATTATTGGCTCCCTTTCAGCCCCTTTGTGTGAAGGCCCAAAAAAGCTGCTTAAATGGTCACATGAGGATTTCCCAGGGAGCACAGAGCTGGTTATGCTGCCTCTACCCCTGCCTCCATCCCCATGCAGACCCTGGCATAGGGGGAGTACCCAGGCAAAAAAGGGACATGGCCTCTGTGCTCTGGTGCTCATCAACTCCTAGAATGGCTCCTTGGGGTCATAGGCAAATGGGTGGAACTTAGTGCGGCCCTGAGGCCTTCAGGATAGGGAACTTTGTCTTCTTTCTCACATGTAAGGTACATTGGCTATGCAAGTCTACTCACCAAAAATGTTTGTTTTTACAGTAATGGAAAGATGAGTATTGTTCCTCAAGATTTCAACAGCTTTTACAAATGTAATGTTCTCAAAGTTCTGTCCATTTACTTCCATTATCTTTTAGGAGAAACAGGAAAAAAAACTGAATTTTTAGATTAAATGTCACAAAACGTTTTCCATTCTCTAAATTTACTATTTAATATTATAAAAAAGATACAATAAATGCTTCAGAAGTTAAAATACTGCTACATATCAGAGTGGTATTATGAAAACATGCATTACTAAATATCCTAATAAATTAGTTGCTACAATTTAAATATAAGTATGTCCTATAAACATGTCAGACTTTGTTGCACCCAGAAGGGGAACTGAAGTCTTTTAGTGGCCCAGCTGAAGAGCTAGGGCCAGAAAGGCCCAGAGAAGCAGAGAGTCTCCAGGGAGAGAGCCCTGGTGGATGTGATCCCACACCAGGGCCAGGACTGCTTAAAGAGCAGGAATAATTTGAGGGAGCCCAGAAGGGGCTGAGAGACCGTTTGGCCAGGGTACTGTGATAGGCCCTGCTGGACTGATTGAAGAGTAAGCCCCAGGATAGGGTCGCAGATCGAAGGACCTTACAGAGGGTAATGAAATAGGCCCCCTGTTGGACTTATATCCCAGAAGGAGTTTGCTTTGCTTTTATCAACCAAACAGACTTTGTCTGACTTGGTCGTAGGACTGAGTCAGCAAAGACCCACCACAAACAGAGTGTGTGCAGGCACATGCACTTGGCCAGGGGGCACTCGCGAGAGTGAGTGTACCCCATTACAACCCTTTTTAACAATTTTCCTAAAACAAACCATGATTAGGATATTTTGGGTTTTTTTTCATATATATTTTAACTGTAGAAGAGAACTGCAGATGCAAACCGTAAATCCTTAAAATACTACATAGTTTGGTAAACATAGTGAGCAAGTTAGTAATATTTTAAGTCTTATATTTCAGACAAACGTTATCTATCATTTACTGTACTTGGTTAAACCAGGAGGGATTTTTATTAAAATTACATCTGAAACATGAATAATTTTATGCACTTTCTTACCTGATCACCACGCTTAAGTCCAGCTTCTGCTGCTTTGCTGCCTGTTTCTACAGTCTCTACAAAAATGCCAAAACCCTTGTCGCTTCCTCCAACTAGACAGAAAAAGAGTGGCGAGTCTCTGGAAGGTTTCTGCAGAGTAATTTGCCTCCACTTTGCTTTGGCGGCACAGGCAATATTCAACAACCTGAGGTGACCCTTCATTTTCTGTAAATCAGAAGACACACAAAGGAATGCAATGTTTCTTCATCTCGAATTGGAAGAACGACTGAAAAGAACAATGCCACAGAAAAAAGAATCTATGAACTTAAGGAACCAATTCTTACTAAAAAAAACCCCAAACCCTGTTCTTTCTTGAAATACCATCAAGGGATAGAAATGAGTAGTCTATACCATTTTACTGTTTGATTCTGTACAACCATATGTACAATTTAGACCAAATAGGACTCTGTTAAAAGCTAAATGTAGATGGTCTTCTTCTAGCCCAAAGACTTTTAAAAAGATTCTTAAATCACAGATGGAAAAAAAACACACCTCACTGGAAAGCATGACACTAATAGTTTTTAGTCCTACCGTATCTTCCAACTTTTTTTCAAATTCTTCCAGAAACCGTGTCATAGCGGGATCTCCTTCAAAATCATTAAAATGATTGTTCACCCACAATAAGACCACTCTGGTGACCTTCAGAAACAAGATAAACATGAGGGTGTATTTTGGATGGGTTGGTTTTGGAGTTGATAGTAAGGAAAAAGAGATGATGTACAATGTAAACATATTTGTTTATGTGGATTTAATCTGATTGCCATTATTTTCTACATTGATGTTACACAGGTTTTTCATAGAAGTAAACCAAAAGCAGAGGTCACTTTTACTGCTTTTAAACCATCCCTGAGTCATTTTCCTCCACTGCACAATTAAACTGATCAGAAAAGGAAAAATCAAATTGGATCCGAGGGTCTGGACTACTATCTACAGTCACACAAAGTCAACACCAATTAATTTCCCTTCTAGTACTTTTAGTTTTGCTTAACTCAGAAACCTTCCACTTTTCAAATTGCCACTGTGAATGGTCAATTCTTTAAGCATAATTTCTAGGAAATGTATAGTAATGATAAAACATTACATCCCGAGAACCTTCATCTCCATTTTTTGACAATGCAGTTGACTGTGCTACAGAATTACTATACAACTCTCATAGTCAGCCTGTCAATTACTCAATCTCTATTAAACAAAAGTGCTCAAAAATTACAGCAGTTTCTTTTGTCTAAAAATAAAGTACTTCCTATTTTATTTGCTGAGACAGTTTTCTTTCTTTGCAAGTCCACAAAAAAGTTGCTGTATGCAAAAGTGCTTGTAATTTCACATTGGCAAAAATGTTATCCAACCCAGGCCCTCCGCCCAAGTCATTTTTAGTATCTATATACTCAGCCCATTTTGAAGTCACTCTTTTCATTATGCATAGAAAAGACAAATCTTGAAAGTGTTTGACATGTGTGTGACATACCCAGGGCACAATCCAGATTAATGAGTAGCTGTGTCACCCCTGCCTTCTAGCCTGGGGTGTCCTTTACAATGCTTTGCTGCTGTAGCTTCCAGTCTGGATTGCTCACAAACAGCCTCCGGCATGAAAGTCACTTCCAGTTATGTCTGTGTGTATACTGCAGCCAGTACGTAGGCTCTTACTAGCTTGAATTATACTACAGGGTGACCCCAACACACTCCCAGAGTCCCAGATTTTTCCCCTAAAATGTTTGCCCTGTACTGCCCAGCTCTCTCCTGGACAATACAAATTTACATAGGTCTGTTATTTCATCAATGGGAATATTATGCACATATTTTATCATCCCAAATGGAGTTTCCCAAACACTTAAATTTAAACACACTGGATTAAATAAAACAATAAAACAAGTTTATTCACTACAAAGAGATAGATTTTAAATGAATACAAGTAACAAGGTATAAGAGTCAGAAATGGTTACAAGAAAAATAAAGAATAAACGCAACTAATGCCTAACTTAATAAACTATCTTAAATTGAAAGCGAAGTTCTTCTCAACACCTGCACTTGGTCTTAGTGGCCAAACTTCTTAGGCCAGGACCCCTTCTTCTGTTTAATGGCTGCTTTCTTTGTTCCTTCTAGTGCAGTGAATCAATCGACAAAGAGCGAGAGCAAGAGAGGAGGGGTGCCCTGGGGTGTTTGTCCTCCCTTTTAATAGTGTCAGTCCCCTCCCACTTGGAAAACATTTCCAGATGAGATTCAGGATGACAGGCACTCTGTGTGGAAGGAAACTTCATGCTGTTTCTGTGCTAAGATGTATATTTTTTGCCCCATCCCTTTTCCTGCCAAAAAAAAAAAAAAAAAGGCCACTTAGCAAGTAATGGCCCATCAACCTTGTTTACACCTGGCTGACGTGTCAGCTTGCCCTTTGTCTTTGAGGGACTGGTTTGGCCACTCCACGGACTTCCCTGGAAAATATACTTTTAGTCATGACCTCAGCTTATGTTTATAACTTCACATATAATAAAATACTGCTATGTGCATTTTGCCATGACATTATTGATCAGCAAATTTTGAGTTTTTAAATGGTATCTCACAAGCCATACTTTATACAAAGATTATTACAATAGAGTGTAGGATGTGGACATGGGAGTATATTCTGTCACAATATGGAATAGTCCTGTCAGACAGACTACTAAGATCATGTGGCAGTTATTTCAGATGTTCTCTGTGGACAATTTTCACATTTTTAATTAAAAAAAAAAAGATTAATGGTCAAAATGCATGGCACAAAAAAGGGAGAAAGAACAACAACATGAAACAGTTGAAAAGCACAAAAAAGACTCTGTAATTTTAAATACCAGCTCTTTTGCTGGTCAACAGGCTTTGTTGCAGGTAAACTCTAGTATATGTGAAAAAAGTCAGCTAAGAACATTATTGCCATCTTTTTCAAATAGGCTATGAATAAAAACCATCAGACCATGTAAGTTTTATTTTGTGTACACGTGAATATTCATACAGAACTTCACTTACTTCCATATACAGAAGTATTGTAATTTCATCAACTGCACCATCTACAACCCTTTTCTATGGTGGAAGTAAACTTCAGGTGCATGGTTTGTAGAAAGCTGCTTAAATCAAATGCTCTTGCTGCCTTGAAAACAATGGAAGATAGGTCCAATGCTGTCATGAAAGCAACAGTGATATGCCCAGGAAATCATGGACACTTAATTGCCCTGAATTACTGGCAAAAATGGGTCTTCTGAGAGGGCCGATTGTACCCAGAATATGAGAGAGTACAGTTGAAAATATTTGCTCTATGTGAAATTTGTGAACAATAGGTCTTGACTTAGATTTCAGATACATTGCCATTTACATATTTAGATCAGCAATTACACATTTTAGAGGCTATGATCAGGCATATCTGAATTTAGAATCAAAACTTACATGTGTGCAACTATGTGGAAGAATACCTGTTTATGCTACTGAAATATATTGCTATAAAAATATGTATTTTTAGATTATCATGGAACAGCCAGACTTTATCAGCACCATAAAAAAGGGTTAAAGATTGATAATATTTTCATCACAAAAGCTGGTCTGTTCATTTGACACCAACCTTATCCCGGAGGCTGTCCACTTTAAACCAATCCAGGAGTTTATCCCCAACTTCCAATGGGCTTGATAGAAATGTCCTGTATGTTAAAAGGAAATCTTCTATATAAGTTGGGTCCACAATAGAATGTTCTTCTATTAAATGCATGATGAGTCGCTCAGGTGTTGCCTTAAAAATAGAAGTTCAAAGGGCTTTCAGGAAGTATCACACAGTATCATCACCCCATTGATGATATCCAGGCTTTGAACCACGCATAGTGCACTTTTTATTTTTTCTTCAAATTATACCAAGTGACTGATAAACGCTTAGAAAGAAAAAGAATCAGTGTGTTTAAGTTCAGTTCACATATTTCAACCTTCCTAAACATTTTGCAGGACTATGCACGATCTTGTCATTTATAATAGCATTTGGTTTGCACAATAACATTCCATTGATTCTTTTGTTTGTTTTAAAATCCCTCTTCTAATCCAACACAACACAGATTAACGAATGTAAAGACACTAATTGGTGGTTTCTAACATAAAACCAGAAAATCTGTACTGAATAGATCCTGTTTTATTAATAAGAAGCAGATTTTGTATTTATATAAAAATATAAATCCTTTCTAATCAACTCTCTATTGAGCTGTATTAGGAGAGACAAATGTGAATATATGTTCCAGGTTCCCACTGTATTTTCTGACAAATTAACATTTTTAGAGATTGACAGGTAGAATATTAAGTAAATAAAGAAAATCACCTTAATAACTATATGTCCTTTCCTGGTTCCACTGCGATCTAGCTCTCTGTGCTCCTTTACCATAACAATTTCTCCTTCTTCCTCGACTTTATGAGTGTTTTTTTCCACATGGTTCAGAATCCGCCAGTAATCCTGCTGAGCTATACAAACAAACTGACCCAGAACAATATGGGGACAATTAATAAACCTGTAGTACATAAACACATCGCCACACACTAAACCTGGGCAAATGTAATGCAATAGTGATAGCATATCATTTGACATCAGTCCAGTCCTGTTCAGTTCCACTAGATATTAAATTGTAAACAGAGTCCAAGTTAAACTGATAATCCCTCCTACAGCACTAAGATGTTACTGTGCAAAGACCAATCTTAAAAGAGAACTTAGCTTGTAAAAAGTGGAAATGGATATTTTCTGTTTAACTGTTCTTATAGCATTTGAAACACACACAAATACCATGACCTTAAGTGGTAAATAGCTACTTCAGCACAACACAAAAGTTCCTGTTTCGCAGATGACAGCAATGTACAAGAAAATTGTTACAAAATAAGAAGGGAGAACCGACAACTAAGGGCTTGTCTATATGGTGTTTTAGTTTGCACTAGAATGGTATAAATTCTAGTCCATACTAGCTTGTTGTGCACTAACTAGCCTGTGTGGACCCTGCTGGCCCACACCAAAAGTTCCTTAGTGTGTGTTAATGTAGCCCTGTAACTTGCACTAGGAAACTTTTAATTAGGGTTGCAAACATTGCATTTCAAAATTAAGGGACTGTTTTTTTAGCATCCACGTCCTCCCCCTTCTCCTGATATCATCATCATCATCATTAATAATAATAATAATAATCAGTACTCACCTACATTCACCAGTGGTATTTCTTGTCGCTTTTTGCGGCAATCAGCAACTCCTGATCTTGGAAAACACCCCTTCTAATAAGGGATTGTTGGCAATCCTACTTTTTAATGCATGCCACCAGGGCCCACATGGGCCATTTAGTGCACAACATGCTAGTGTGCACCGGAATTTACACCCGTCTATTGCAGACTAAAGCATTGTGTAAACAAGCCCTAATTTAACAGAGTGCCCACCCTTCCAAATGTCTCACCCCCACCATCAAGTGCCAACTTCCTTTATTCTATTTCCAGAATAAATATCATTATGTTAGATGAAACCATATTATCTTTTTTATTAACCATTTAAAAATGCGAGAAAATTATACACAAGTATAATCTTACCTGACAGTCATCTACTTTGGTCCTAACCACTCCATTCATGTACTGTTTATCCAAAGAAGGGGTAATCCCAAAACTATTTCCCATACAGAGACTTTCAGTTTTCCCATCTGGATGGCTGATTTCCACGGTGCCGTTTAAAATAACATACCAAGAATCAAGCTAGAATGAATTTAAAAAAAAAAAAGTATGGATCTCTCAGCAAGTTCTAATAAGTAAGATGAATGCTTATCTTCCAGAAGTATTTGCCCATGTGATAGTAAATATGCTTTCATTACAATTTTGTAACATTTCATTCAATACAACATGTCAAGAACTGCTGTTTACTGTCCACTGACTTGTAAGCAGTAGGTGAAGGATGAGCCAAAATAAAAAAGTTTATTTCTAGCTTCGCAATCTACCAAGTACTAATAATTTCCAAATATTTACATGTCCTGTTTTGACAACGAAGCCTATGGTGTGATACTATATTTTTTACATAGGCATTAAAACATGACCACTGGACACTCAAATTTGCACAAGAGGAGACTTGAGTTAAGCCAGTGGGTAACAATTGCACAAGATCAAAAACATTTTTTAAAAGATTACTTCAGAAAAGAAATATTTCCTGGGCAGAACATTTTATCTTTTTACTGATAGAAACGATCCATTCTTTTATGACATTATAAATACAATTTTTGTAAAATAACCCCTAACTACTAGGTAGCAGTACAAAAATAAATTGCAATATACCAGATTACTGTTCAAGTACTATACATACAAATTGTTTAATGCTATTGTATGTTTAGATTTGAACATATTAAAATCCTGAGTTTCAGTATCATACAGTGCTTAAATTATGTTATGTGCTATAACTTACTTCTTGTCCATCTTCAAGTATGATGGCTCCTGCTTGTTCTACCACTTCAAATATCATAACTGAACAAAGCTCTCTTCTTACAGACATGGTCATGTTTGCAAAGGCTGGGAGTTGATGCATAAATTCCAGTAATTGCTCTATTAGATAAAGGAAACATTGATATGAAGACTGCAAGGCCTGTGCCTCTAAGGTACCATACCCCCTGCAGGTATATTAAACCTCAGAGTTAAACTTACTGAAGGAATTACTCAGTGGTATTTCTATCACTATTAGTGCCTGTGGCTAAATGAGCACAGCATGCATTTTTTACAATCAACATTAATAAAAAGAACCTGGCTTTTCAATCTTGATTGTGCTCTGATTGACTATTACGGCATCAATCTAGCTAAGCGTAAAAGCACTTGAACTTCAAGCCTTTAGAAAAGTTATCAAGTATTTTTGCTGAATGATGATTGTAAGCTAGATAATATCAATAACATGAAATCATTTTTCAGTGTTCAGAGAAATAATCAGAGGAAAAGTATAAACTATTTCAATTTTTATTTTAGTGTTAAACTAATGCCAACTTTAGCTTGGTGCTTGCAGAAATCTCTTTTTGACTCAGATTCCTTGGAACTTAAATTCAGCCTCTTTATACTGTGATAATAATACCAGCCCTGCCAAAAATTCCAAAACAAATATGCCAGCTTCAGGTAGTTAAATTTATTCCCCCCGCCCCCACCCCATACCCTGCATTAGCAAACTGTAATCACCAAAGTATTTAGCAACTCAGTGCTAATATTTTCAAACACCTAGTTTCTCATAATATATATAAGAGAATAATAGTCTAGTTTAGTTTATAAATTCTTTGGGAACAACAAGAGTTGGAAAAAATCTCTGAAAAGCATCATCCATAGTTATGAGGCTATATATTTATTAATAATTATGCACTTACACAAATGTCAAAGAAGCCTTTATTATTTGAGTTATAAAATAGATCATATCAAGATCTTTCTCACCAATGTCATCATCCGTTTTGTCTGCAGGTTCTTTTTCAAGGCACTCTCGTACAACATCTCGCCCCAGCAATGGATCTGAAGTTCTGTCAATATCTTCATCTTCTTCTTCTTCATCTTCAGAGTCCACAGGTGCTTCTGGGAGACCTGTTAAATCTACATCTCCCATATCACTTTCTGTAGCCTGTAGAAAAGAAATGATCAGGCAGTAAATTCAATTTCTACACAGGTTTAACAGTTTATTATGGCCTAAGCTTATAGTTCCAGTTAGTTTATACCACAAAAATGAAAAAGTATCCTTTGACTAATAATTATGAGCTACAAGTTATGATAACTCAACATGTTTTACCACTTGAATACTTAAGGAAAGATATTACAATGCAATTTACTATTACAGAAAGACTGGTATAAATATCTATCTGGTGCATGTACATGCATATGTTTTTATAATTTACATAAAAAGCATACATAAGAGGACAGAGACGTATTATTTTCATAAATCAGGGATGACTATATGTGTTGTCACTCATGAACTGTAGTCATCCCTGACTTATGAAAACAAAAATAGTATGTTGCACCATACTCTTTGTACATATACTTATAGATGAGAGAAAATGGTTAAAGTGGAATATACAACCATTGCAATTTTATATGTTGCTGGTTGAACTCAAATTATCTAAATGATCTATACCACAATTCATACAGTTTAGTTAGTTAGTATGTACACATTACGCCTCTGGCGTTTAGGGCAGTGACGAAGCTCCTCCGCTCCTGTCTTTTTCTGGCAAGTCTTTCAATGGGGCACAGCATGCTCCACACCTCGAACCTCTCAGATTTTGGAAGGCACTTCAGATTCTTAAACCTGGGGTCGAGTGCTGTAGCTATCTTTAGAAATCTCACATTGGTACCTTCTTTGCGTTTTGTCAAATCTGCAGTGAAAGTGTTCTTAAAATGAACATATGCTGGGGCATCATCCGAGAGTGCTATAATATGAAATATATGGCAGAATGCGGGTAAAACAGAGCAGGAGACATACAATTCTCCCCCAAGGAGTTCAGTCACAAATTTAATTAATGGATTATTCTTTTAACAAGAGTCATCAGCATGGAAGCATGTCCTTTGGAATGGTGGCCGACGCATGAGGCGGCATGCGAATGTTTAGCATATCTGACATGTAAATACCTTGCAATGCAGGCTACAAAAGTGCCATGCAAATGCCTGTTCTCACTTTCTGGTGACAAGAAGCGGGCAGCCTTATCATCTGTAAATGTAAATAAACTTGTTTGTCTTAGCAATTGGCTGAACAAGAAGTAGGACTGAGTGTAGACTCTGAAGTTTTACATTGTTTTGTTTTTGAGTGCAGTTATGTAACAAACAAACAAAATCTACATTCGTAAGTTGTACTTTCACAACAAACAGATTGCACTACAGTACTTGTATGAGGTGAATTGAAAAATACTATTTCTTTTGTTTATCATTTTTACAGTGCAAATATTTGTAACCAAAAATAATATACACTATGATTTCAATTACAACACAGAATACAATATATATGAAAATGTAGAAAAACATACAAAATATTTAATAAATTTCAATTGGTATTCTGTTTAACAGTGCGATTAATCAAAATTAATTTTTAAAATCACAATTACTTTTTTTTAGTTAATTACATGAGTTAACTGCGATTAACTGACAGCCCTAATAAATATTAAGACTTTCATATGTCATTTTAAAAGAAAATTAAATTGTTCAAGTATTTATCCATCAAAACTAAGAAATAATGCTCGAATCACCCACTTAATCCTATCTGGGCAAGGCAATCATAAAGGGTTAAATCCACTTCATATTACATCACTTTACTGGCTTATGTTGCTCACATTAACTCAGAGGTGGGCAAACTTTTTGGCCTGAGGGCCACATCTGGATAGGAAAATTGTATGGCGGGCCATAAATGCTCAAAAATTGGGGGTTGGGGTGCAGAAGGGGGTGAGGGCTCCAGATGGGGGTGCAGTCTCTGGGGTAGGGCCAAAAATAAGGAGTTCATGGTGCGAGAGGGGGCTCGGGGCTGGGGCAGGGGGTTAGGGTGCAGGGGGGGAGGGTGAGGGCTCTGGCTGGGGCTCGAGATGAGGGGCTGGGGGTGCAGAAGGATGCTCCGGGCTGGGACCGAGGGGTTCGGAGGGCAGGAGGGGGATCAGGGCTGGGGTAGGGAGTTGGAGGGCAGGAGGGGTTCAGGAGTGCAGGCTCTGGGCGGTGCTTAACTCAAGCAGCTCCCAGAAGCAGCAGCATGCCCCCCCCTCCAGCTCCTATACAGAGAAGGGCAGCCAGGAGGCTCTAAACACCGCCCCGCCCACAGGCTCCGTCCCTGCAGCTCCCACTGACCGTGATTCCAGGCCAATGGGAGCTGCGGGGGCAGCGCTTGGGGCAGAGGCAGTGTGCAGAGCCCCCTCGCTGCCCCAACACGTAGGAGTCAAAGGGGGGAGATGCCGCTGCTTCCGAGAGCCGCGCGGCACCACAGCATGTGCAGAGCGGGGCAAGCCCCTGACCCCGCTCCCCGGCTGGAGTGCCGGAGCAGGGCAAGTCCAGGACCCTGCTCCCCGGTGGGAGCTCAAGGGCCAGATTAAAACGCTTGAAGGGCTGGATGCGGCTCCCAGGTCATAGTTTTCCCACCCCTGCATTAACTACTTCGGAATTAAGCCCAAGTGCAAACTGTGTTTGGAGAGAGTCTCAGCAGCACAGCACCTTTATTCAATAATTTCTAGCCTTTCTACGGCTAATTAGCCTGAATTTTTATTGTGTTTTTCAATCAGAGCAACACAGATTGTGGACCTCACTTCCCAGTTTGACAAGCTCAAGCTAAAATACTAAAGCTTAAGCATATATGCAGAATAAGGGGAGGAGGGTTGTTTGTTTGGTTCTGTTTTTTTCTGATTTAGGTGACAATCAGCCAATAAAAGACATGCAACCCTTCTTTCTACAGGCAAAAGAAAGAAGTGCTAGATTGTATCCAGCCGCTTCAGGAATGCATAAGGGGAAGGGACAAGAAGCAATCACCACCTCCCAGACCTCTAAGCAATCCAGATATAATGTCAGTCCATGCAGACCCAGTCTGAAACTGCCACAGCAAGTCACTCTGGCTCTCTAGGGTGACATGTTTTCCTACAAGCCAGACAACGGCCCCCACCACTTACTGTGCGGTTAGGTCATTCCCCAAGGGTAAAAGTGAACTTTCTTTTATTATGCCCTAGTCTACTATGCCCGTGAACAAATAATTACCTATGAAATAACAGATGGTTCTTAAACTGTGTCCTAAGGACCACTTGCAGATGGCCCACAAAGTGTTCATAGGTTACACAGTGATGGGAGAAAACCTGGGGGCTTTGGACAGCACACATTGAGCTATCTGTAGAAACAGCTGTTCCTGTTGCCAAAAATGATACCACAGCTGCTTCTACTATCCATTATTACAAACACTGTCAACTTCAAAATTCCTTGATGAACTGTTAAATCCACTAATTTATTTATTTTTCAATGAACAGAACGTGTGCTGGTCGCATAGCCTGTGAGCACATTTACATGATAAATATGCAATTATTTAATTTCTGATACATGGAGTGGCAATAATAACCAGTCAAAACGCCACCATCCCTTAATAACCAGCAGAATGCAATCACTGACTCAGCTCCACAAAATCATTACACAAATAAGGACTTGCAGGATGAGGAGGTGTAGGGAACCCTATTAACAAACTAGCGTTTACCTAAGGCAAAAAAAAAAAAAAGCCCAAGTAAAACAATGGGCATTACACACCATGTCTGGAAGGTCAAACTTTAATTTTCAGTTTTCAATTTTACATAATACAAGCACAACCCTGTAATTACACAATGTACAAACAACAAGGTGACAAAACTGCATTTTCAAAAAGCTATGCCCTTCGGATTGACCTATGTTGTAGATCTGAAAGACTCTTAAGAGCTAAACTGTTTAGTACTTTAAACAGACTAATATTTACTCCTTAAGAGAATAAAATGCACCAGTCTCACAAACCGGCACCAAAATAAAAATAGCAACTTAATCTACTCTATGAATGATTTAACATTTCATTTCATATTAAGTAGAACTACTGTAAGAGCAACAATTCTAAGCACATGTCAATTACGAAAAGGTCAGCAGTTGTCACCTTGTTTACCATTGTGGATGAACATTAATTATTAACCAACACTAGATCAATGATAAGAACAGCCTCCAAGTCCAAACTGCACATAAATTAGTTGGAGACGTATTTATTTTGTTTTTGTTTTTTCACAGAAGCTAGCCTATTCCAGGGAAATAGTCTAAGAGGAATGAAGAAATGGCCTTTCAGACAATCTCCTTAATTCACAATAGTACTACAGAATAGCGTGCCCTCCTTTTAGCCTGACTTCTTTTAAAAATGCAGACTCAAATCTTCTTAAAAACATACAGACACCAGTATGTTCCAATAAACTTTTGAAACTTTTAACTCTTATAAAGCATTTAAGTTACAAAGGAAACCTAATATTATTAAAACAAAATATATTTCAGAGGCACGTAGAGCTATTTAGGACCAAAGTTTCATCTGTCTGAAAATTGTTAGCACATCATCATTGCTGCGTTTCAGTCTCCCAATTCGCCAAAGGGGAAAGAACACAGCTTCAGTCACTATCATTACACAGCAGAGATATTTAAAGTTTAAATGAAAACAAGAGGCATGTCAACTCAGCAGGCAATAAGAAAGCAACATAGGTAGAACAAGTTAACAACCAGCAATATTCTCTGAAATGCTGACAGTATTCATGGCAAGAAGGGAAGTATTACACCAAAGCTGTGATCTTGTGGTCCTCAAGAACCAAGGTAAAACGCAATAATATTTTAACTATTAAGAAATTATAAACTATGGATAGTAAAATCACAGCAATGTAACACTATAAGTACCTGATTTTTTTTTTAAAGGGAGGCTAAATTAAGATCAGTAACTTAAAGGGTAAAAAACATTACATTAATGTTTTAATTATTCTAGAACCAAGCCTTACAAATCCAAGAAATTCAGAGTAACGTTACACATAACTGAAATCCAGAAAAAGGCTCGTAAGATATAGAAATGTATAGCTGAGGCACCTAAGCAACCTTCACTCTGTTCTGTAGTAGCATTATGAAATAACTATTTGA